CTCCCCAAGGGATAGGGCCTGGGCCAACCCTTTTCCTCAGGAGTTAGGAGCCCAGCCCGGCTACAATAACGTTGTCTTTACAAGGTCAAGGCATGCTTCCTCCACTTTCCAAGACAATTATCTGTACACAGAGGGAATGGTTGTACTGAACTCCTCTTGGGCACACAGCTGGTCAGAAAGAGGCTGCAAGGGGAGAGGATGGTTGGCTCTGTACCAGTCAGTCATTCCTAAGTCAGGCCCTAGAAGGGGGTCAGCAACATTCAATCCACTGTCATCCAATTGCTTGAGCCTTTTTAGGTGCCAGGCAATAAGAGGGAGATGCTGGAGATGGTGTGGCCACCTGCGGAGGCTCCCAACCTTCAGGAGTTCCCAGGTCTTTGAAGCAGACAATGGGCTAGGTTCATATTTGACATACAGTCACCAGTACTTTACTGGCAGGGGAGCCTTTTTGAGGCCACTCTCTTACAGAGCTTACAAATCTCACTGAGGGGCTGAGACACAACTATATGGAGGAAAACATCCCAGGAGACATGACAGGGGAGCGCCACTGTCCTTTCCCCTCCTCCTCATTTCTAACTGTGGGTGGTCACTACAGCAATGTTCTCACTGCTGTCCCGTCCAAGCCTGCTGGCCACCTTCAGCCTTTCCTTCATAGCTGACAGGAAGAAGGTCTGCTCACAGGACTCCTCTCTGGGTAGTCAGCTCCAGCCCAGTTCCTTTAGCAGGGCACTTTAGTCTCGGCAGGACTGGTTCCTAAAACCACTCCAGCTGTGTCATTTAACAAAGCCTTAGCCCTCACGCCTACCCAGTCAGAGCCACGCATGATGTTGTTCGCACCTACTGTTTGTTCCCTGTGCACAGAAAGCCCTTATTTTCCACTGGCATTCATCTTACAAAGTTCCACAGGTGTCACAACTCTTTGATGAATCCACCTCCTCCTCTATACACCTATGTCCCACTTACTCATTCCTTTATTTCTTCTATGTGTGACACACTCTAGTGTCTTGGAAATATAAGTTTACAGGCCAGTTTCCCCGATTTGGTGTGACTTGAGGCATGCTCTGTGAGATCTGAGTGACTTCTTTCTAGAGTTAAAGAAGCTTGAACAAACAAAAGCAAATTACCCCTGAGGCCATGAAAAAGATCCGGCTACAAACATCAGGATGTGACAGCCACAAGGAACGCTGATTGGACACACAAACAGCATCACTTTCCCGAGCACTTACTACATGTCAGGAACTGTGCTATGTGCTGTGTCACACCCCGCACCCTTTATTCCTCGTAGCAACTTTGTCCAGTGGCCATTAGCATTGACACTTCACAAATGAGAAAACCCATGCTGGGATAAATTTAAAAATATGCTCAAAACCAAAGCAGAGAGCCAATGGTAGAGTAGCAGAGTAGCCTGGGAAAGTACTAGAGGATGTCTCAGGTCCTTGGGACCCTGCTGCTGCATGGGAGACCTGGAGGAAGCTCTTGGCTTCAGATCAGCTCAGCTCCAGCCATTGAGGCCATTTGAGGAGTAATCGGTGGATAAAAGATCTCTCTCATTTTGCAGCTCTGCCATTCAAATAGAAAATTGAAAAAAAAAATCTAGCAGTGCATTACAAAATGTACATACATAATGTACCATTAATGACCTTACCAATTGAAAGGCTTTTGAAGAAATAAACTCACAAACAGGGTTGGAAGAGGTACCCAGGCAGGAGAAGCCTGTGGAAAAGTGTCAAGGTAGTAGGGGAACAGTGCACAGGTTCAGGGGATGTTCGGTAGATGAGGACAGGTGGGGACCCAGGGTCAAATCTTACAACCTGCTTTCAGAGCTCATTATGGGATGACACAAATGGTCCCTGATGGTTGCCATGGTTACAACAGTTGGGTGGAGTTTGTGTCAGACCCGACACATCACTTGGGCCTCAGGCCGGTTCCGGAAGGGGTGGTAGGGATCAGGCATGTCACCAGGTCAGCAAAGCCCTGATGGACCAATGACAAGCTCAGGCCAGCATTCCTTACCTAAATAAGGAACAAACAACCACCCAGCCACCCCTTCAGCTTCTGTGTCAGGAGGGGCTTAAAAGCCCCTGGGTGCCTTTTCCCTCGCCTTTTTTCCTTCACAGCCCTCCTCTTCATGTCTCTCTCCACTGAGCAGGAGAAAGGCCCAAGAGTAGGGTTCCCTAAATAAAGGTCTTTTGCATTCTTTTGTACATTGGGCTGATACTTCTCTTACATGGGTGGCCAGCAAATCTAACAGTCCCAATTGTGTGCGTGTGTGTGGTTTTTCTTTTTTTTTTTGAAAGTTCTTTAGACCTTCTTTTGCCCATTCTATGTACCTTGCTAGTATACTGTCATCTCAAGCCCCCATTTTCCTTCTATGATGACAGTTTTTCATTTTTAATTAAAGATTTATTTTGTTAATATTTATTTTATTTTTATTGCAAAGTGAGATATACACAGAGGACGAGAGACAGAGGGGAAGATCTTTCATCTGTTAATTCACTCCCCAAGCAGCCGCAAAGGCTGAGCTGAGCTGATCCGAAGCCAGAAGTCAGGAGCTTCTTCCAGGTCTCCCATGTGGGTGCAGGGTCCCAAGGCTTTGGGCTGTCCTCGACGACTGCTTTACCAGGCCACAAGCAGGGAGCTGGATGGGCAGGAAGGCCGCCAGGGTTAGAACCAGTGCCCATATGGGATCTCAGCATGTGCAAAGCAGGGATTTAGCCACTAGGATACCGTGCTGGGCCCAGGTTTATTTATTTGAAAGGGAGAGTTACAAAAAGAGAGGAAGAGCCACAGAGTGCTAGATCTTTCATCTACTGGTTCATTCTTGAGATGGCTACAATGGCCAGGACTGGTTCAGGTCAAAGGTAGGAGCTCAGAATTTTATCGGGGACTTGGTGAACTCATATGAAGATTCAAACCAGTGTTCATATAAAATGACTGAGTCTCAGGTGGCAGCTCAACCCACTGTACCATACAAGCCCCTTATGTTTTCTCTTTTTCTTATTAGTGTTAGGCTTTCATCTTTCATCAGAGCATATACTTTCCAAGGGCAAGAACAACCACGCAAAGAAATAATGAACTCTTGGGCTGATGTAGCTAAAGCTGGTTTTGTGGGTTAACCTTCCATCTACAACACAGGCATGCCATATCAGAGTGCTGGAAGGAATCTTGGCTGCTCCATTTCCCATTCAGCTCCCTAGTAATGTGCCTAGGAAGGCAATAAGGGCAGGCACTTGGGATTCTGATACCAATGTGGGAGATGGATGGAGTTCCTGAGTCCTGGCTCCTGCTTGGGCCAGAAATGGTTATTGCTCCCATGTTGGGAGAGGGACAGAAGACATAAGATTCTTTCTCTCTGTTGTTCTATTTGTTAAATAAATAAAGCTTTTTACTGTTATTTTCATGAACTCTTTGTTGCCACCCGAAGCGTTAAGAGATTCTAGGGAATTCACTGCAAGAGGTGAAGTAGCTAACGTACAGGAGCTGTACTGCTGATATCTGTGCGCTAAACAATTAAGTCAGTATGACGGGTTATTCTAAAACACTGATTTCTAGGAAGGATACCTCAATTCAGACTATAAACTGGGATGGCATTCTGATTATGACACGTTTCTGTGGGTGGACCATGGGCTGGGCAGTGTAATATGGATGGCACAAGAGTACATTAACATAAGAGGTCCTCTTTGCCACTGCTGGGAATCAGAATATTCAAGAGTGACCTTAGAAACTAACAGGTAATAGTGTGAAATGAAATGGTGATAAGTCACAAAGGAAGAAACATGACCCAGCTGCAAGTAAGTTCTTATGTGCGCAGTTCACCATAAGTAGATTCTATTCAGATATGTCTACTAAGCACTGAAAGCTTAACAATAAACACTAAAAAGTTGCCTGTGTCAACATTGGTCCTCATACCTGGGAGGAGGCCAGTCAGTCCAGAACTTTAAGGCTTACAAGTGCTCTGTTTAACAGCACATTTGTTCATTGCCTGCTGCTTTGTTCTTTTGTTTACTCCTGGGGGAATCTCCATCTTAGCTGGTCTCAGGTTGATGTTGGGGTTCAGGATCCTAACTTAGGGACTGAGGTGGCCTGAATTTCCCATCCCCCGCCCCAAGTCACTCTTGGTCAAGCTTCTAGAGATGTCTCCATCTACCAGCCTTTTCTGAAGGATCTCTACTGCCCTGCATCAATTTCCTCCCAGACTCTTCCTTTGGTATTTAAATATCCCTTCCTTTTTAGGGCTTCAGTTTCACCAAAACATAACTCCACCCCTTCCCCCACCCCCACATTTTGGCTCACGTAAAATAACCACAGGTTATTTGGGCTAAATAGGGTTCAAAGTTTCTCTGACTTTTGCCCAGCACTCCCGTATCAACATGCCTCTTTTTCACCCATGGTTCCCAAACTCCAACGACCAGGGGAAGGAGGTGGACGCTCACCAGCTAAACTGGTCATTCTCCAGAACTGCAGTTTCACAAGAATGTTCTTCACGCCTGCCACGACTAACTTACTAGCTGCTAAGGGCAAGGACAACGTCTCCTCTACCAGACAGGAAACTTCCTGTTGACGGACGCCATGCATTCCTATCTTCCCTGTTTACCGTCTCTGAGACACAAAACGGACCCTGCAGAGATGTTTCTTGTTGAAAATATTCCTTCCCGATTTTGAATTTTAGATGATAGACGGAAACTTCGTTGCCTAAATGAGCAACGAAGGAGTTAAATCTCAGCAACCTGATGGATTCCGGGGGTTCCTCGGCGCGACTCTAGAAAGTAAAATGACCAGCCAGGGGAATTTTGCCCGATACAAAGATGAGAACCGTTAACTCCAACTGTCAGGCTTCTGCCCCAAACAAGAATGGCTATCCATGCCCACAAAGGGTGCAACTCACCTAACTAAAACTGGCTGGTCGCAGTTTCCACTACCAATGCCTCTTTCTGCCCAACCCCAATATGGCGCCTGCTAGCCTCACCGAAAAGGAGTGAATCTCCCAGTGCCCTCTCTGGCCCGTGACGTCAAATGACGCGAGCCCCAGCCGGAAGTGGAGGAAAAAGCGCTTCAGCCCGCGGCGCCTGCGCAGAAGGCTCTAGACGCTGTAGGCAGGAGGCACTTTGGATCGTCCGCAGGATTGGGGACTGTTACAAGAGGCCGCCACGGAGCCCGCCGGAGCCACCGTTCCTGCTGGTGCTGCTGTTGCCCGAGTCGGAACCGTCGGGCCGCAGCCGCCGGCAATGCCGCGCAGGAAGGTGAGGAACGGGAGAGGAGGGATGGCGGGTAAAGACAGTCGAGGGTGCGGTGTGACGCTGTTGGCTATGCCTCACAGCAGCCAAGCTGCCGTTTCCCGCTCCCCCGAACGTAACTCATCCACTGCTTTCCTGTGTCCAGACGCAACAGAAAAATGTGGGCCCGAGCCTGGCCTCGGCCTATGCTCGCTGCTATTCCCGCCCTCTACTTGCCTGGACCGGAGGCGTTCTTCCTGCTCATTGGTCCCCGAAACGTCTCGGCGCTTATTGATTGGCTGATGACACCGCCTATTTGGGCCCAACGGTCACCTCCCCGCATGCGGGGGTGGTGTCCGGGTCTAGCCCTTGTCATCTCCCATTGGCTGTAGCGAACGATCCCTCTGCTCCTCATTGGCCGAGCGTTGCAGTCTGTCCCGCGGGGGCGCGGCTTATCAGCACGTCGATTGGGTGCCGCGAGTCCCCGCCCTTCAGGCCGAGGCTGTTGATAGGCCAGGAGGCGGGGGCTTTGGATCTCGGTCCCTTCCTGGTGGGGGCTTTACAAAGCGGAGGGGGAACGGCTCCTGCACCCTGTGGCTGCCGCCCAGGCTGCTGGCGGCTTAAGCCACTCTCTGCACACCTCCTGCTTTCTGCCGGCCTTGAAAATGCCCTTCGAAAATTTGGTACTTTGTAGAATTGTGAGGTCTCTGAGGAACATCCTCTTGCCCCTGATTGCTCTCCTCCTTTTTTCCGCACCGAAGCACCCGGAAGCCTTAAGGGGCTATAGTAGGGCCAGGACTTCGGGAAAAACAGTGCAGTTCAACCATTGATCATTTACTGTTGCTGAACAGTCCACAGTTGGTTGGGCTTAAGGGTGTTACTCACGGATGAGGAAAACATAAGAAAGATCTATAAGTTTTCTGCTTAAAGGTGCAACATGTCATGGAGGGAAGTGAGGGGGCAGTTGATTGATAAGGTCAGAGAGAAGCGCTGAGTCTTAACTCTTGCAGAACCCTCATTCATTTTTAGACAAGATTACCCTTGCAGTCTTTGGAAAGATAGATGATATTCTTGCTGGTGTCTTAAGAAGTCTTTCTGTTTCCAGAGGCCATCCATGTTAAATATTTACTTTTCTTTTTTTGTTTTTTACTTGAAAGAGTTTCAGAGAGGGAGACAGATCTTCCACCCACTGGGTCACTCCAGATGGCCACAATGGCTGGAACTAGGCTGGCCCGGAACCAGGAGCCTCATCCAGGTTTTCCACCTGGGTAAAAGGGCCCCGGAGGGTGGCGTGGCCATCCTCCACTGCTCTCCTAGGCCATTAACAGAGAGCTGAATGGGTATTTGAGCAGGCAGGAACCAAGCCATGCCTCTGATGGCGCTGACCCCAAATATCTACTCTTGTAATGTCCCCTAGGATCTGCGGGGTTGGAGGGCGATGATGTTGAGGCTCACCAGCCACAGGTTAGTGGTGCTGTACAGGTGGCCTCCGGGTCTCTTCTGCAGTTCCCTCACACAGGGATGCTTCTCAATAGTTCGTTTGGTACCAAACCTGTCCTAAGTGTCCTGAATACCCGGAGGCTTCTCAGGGTCTCTGTACATCTCTTTCAGGATGACTATATATTTCATTATAGAAATATTAATGCGACTTACTAGAGGTATTATTTACAAGTTATATGCAAAGTATTCTCTTTCATAAACTCTATAAAGAGTCTCTCCAGTTTAGGGCACGGTGTGATGGCTCAGTAGGTAAATTCTTGTCTTGCACACACCGGGATCCCTTATGGATGCCAGTTCATGTGCCGGCAACTCCACTTCTCATCCAGCTCCCTGCCTGTGACCTGGGAAAATAGTTGAGGACGGCCCAAAGTCTTAGGACCCAGTAGCCGCACAGGAGATCTGGAAGAAGTTCCTGGCTCCTGGCTTCTGATCAGTTTAGCTCCTGCTGTATGGGAGTGAGCCAACAGAAGAGCTTTCTCTCTCTCCTCCTTTCTGTAAATCTGTCTTTCCAATATAAATAAATGTTTAGAAAAACCATGTAAATGAGAGGCAAAGACCATGAAAGCTCTCATATGCTGTTTACATGGCAAATGCTGCAAGCCCTAATGGGGTGGGAAGCCCTCATAACAGGCCTCCCAGCCCCTGGGTGCCATAGCTGCTTCCCCCGCCCCCCAGGTGGTGGGAACAGGAACCCGGAATGTGAGCAGAACAGGATCTCAACTCAGCGCACTCAGAAGGGGTGCTGGTAAATACGTCAGCCCGGATCTTAACAAATGAAGCATTCCAAACAACCTGGCCCAAGAGGTTGTGGTTAAAGAATTAAGACTTCTAGAATGAAACTTTGTATGTATACATATATTTTAACAATTACTCTTTCCTTTCTGGCATACTAAAGAGTATACTGTTACTGTTCTGTGGGTACATTTTTGTTGATTAATCATTCCCCAAGAGGCTGATAAACTGAGTAAATAACTTAATTGAAAAGATACTTTTTTTTTTTTGACACATGTTTTTGAATACTTCATGTACATAGGAGCAAGATGCTTCTCCCGCACTTTAGCACTGCTGGCATTCTGTGTGGAGCACTGCAAGGATAGATGGCAGGAGAAAAAAGGATTTTTCTTTTTTAAGATTTATTTATTTTTATTACAAAGCCAGATATACAGAGGAGGAGAAGAGACGGAGAGGAAGATCTTCTGTCCGATGATTCACTCCCCAAGTGACCACAATGGCCGGTACTGTGCCGATCCAAAGCTAGGAGCCAGGAACTTCCTCAGGGATTTCCACGTGGGGGCAAGGTCCCAAGACTTTGAGCCCTCCTCGACTGCTTTCCCAGGCCACAAGCAGGGAGCTGGATGGGAAGTGGAGCTGCTAGAATAGGAACCGGTGCCCATAAGGGATACTGGCGCGTTCAAAGGGAGGACTTTAGCCGCTAGGCCACCGTGCTGGGCCTGAAAAAATGATTTGTTTTTTTTAAGATTTATTTTATTTTTGTTGGAAAGGCAGATGTTCAGAGAGGAGACGAGACAGAGAGGAAGATCTTCCGTCTGATGACTCACACCTCAAGTGACTGCAACAGCTGGAGCTGAGCCAATCCAAAGCCAGGAGCCAGGAACTCTTCAAGGTCTCCGATGTGGGTGCAGGGTCCCAAGGTTTTGGGCCATCCTAAACTACTTTCCCAGGCCAGAAGCAGGGATGGAAGCAGGGCCACCGGGACTAGAACCAGTGCCCATATGGAATCCTGGCACATTCAAGGCAAGGACCTTAACTGCTATGCTACCATGCCGGGCCCGAAAAAATGATTTTTTAATGTCTTTCTTTTGAATGGTTTTGAGACCAGAATGGTAAAGGCCATAGTATCTGTAAGTAGTACCTTTTGTTGTTATTGTTTGTTTTAATGTAATAGTTACTCATGGAGATTTTGAGCAAAAGCTATGAAAAAGTTCAGTGGGGGTACCGGCAACGTGGCCTAGCGGCTAAAGTCCTCACCTTGAACACACCGGGATCCCATATGGGCGCCAGTTCTAATCCCGGCAGCGCCACTTTCCATCCAGCTCCCTGCTTGTGGCCTGGGAAAGCAGTAGAGGATGGCCCAAAGCCTTGGGACCCTGCACCCGTGTGGGAGATCCAGAAGAGCTCCTGGCTCCTGGCTTCAGATTGGCTCAACTGCAGCTGTTGCAGTTGCTTGGGGAGTGAACCATCGGATGGAAGATCTTCCTCTCTATCTCTCCTCCTCTCTGTATATTCGCCTATCCAATAAAAATAAGTAAATCTTAAAAAAAAAAAAAAAGAAGAAGAAAGAAAAAAGAAAATAAGTGAGTCATGCCTAAATGAAACAGAAATGGGATGAGTAGAACCTCTGGCTCAGAGGCTGTCCTGCATTCTGAGGGATTGTGAGCAAGTTAGCTCCTCCTTTGCCAATAGGGTGGAGGATGCCTGCCGCTCTGCTGCGCGTAGGGGGGAGACCTGGAGGAGGCTCCTGGCTCCTGGCTTCGGATCAGTTCCGCTCCAGCCATTGGGGTCACTTGGGGAGTGAATCATCGGACAGAAGATCTTCCTCTGTGTATATCTGATTTTGTAATAAAAAAAACAAATAAATCTTTAAAAAAAAAATAAAGTTCAGTGGAGCCAAGTGTCACTTTTTTTCCACTCTAACTGGGATTTAGAGAGTGTGGGTGTGTCAACCAGATACATACTGTCAAGTGGGATACTTTCACTTCCAGTCGGATACTTTCACTCTCCAGAGGGATTTGGTCAAGATGATAACGGCAAAGGGTCCTGTCTACTTCGGGGACAAAAATGCTTGGCTTGTGGGTTGTTCGTTGAAGTTTCCTAAAGGAAGGTGGCCGGGGCTGTGTGCTGGGTGGGGAGATGCTGTGGGATCCTTCCTCAGGTTGGAACTGGGTGTCTCCAGCTTCACGGTTCGTTTTCTTTCCAGTGTTGATACTCTACACTGTAGAGTAAATGCTTCAGTGCTAATGTCTGGATCTGTGGTGTTACAGAGGAATGCAGGCAGTAGTTCAGATGGAACCGAAGATTCCGATTTTTCTACAGATCTTGAGCACACAGATAGTTCAGAGAGCGATGGCACGTCCCGACGATCTGCCCGAGTCACCCGCTCCTCAGCCAGGCTGAGCCAGAGTTCTCAAGGTAACTGTTTTCGTTCTTGTGCCCCCTCCTCACAGCTGGCTGCTCAGGGTGTTGTGCTGGCTCCTGACAGATGCGGCAGTGGCAGCTCTGCGGGGGGTGCTCTGCGCTCTATGCAAAGGAATAGTGGCTGCTGTGTGAGATGCGGATGTGTCGTTTGATTGCTTTTTCTGAGGGTTTTTTTTTTAAATGAAGATGTATTTATTTGAGAGATTTTCCATGTGCCTCACTCCCCAAATGACTGGAAGCCAAGAGGCAACTCCCATCAGATCTCCCACTTGGGTGGGAGCAGTCCACATATTTGGGCCATCTTCCACTGCTTTCCCAGGCCATTAGCAAGGAGCTGGATCTGAAGTGGAGCAGCTGGGACTCTGACCAGCACTCATATTGAGTGTTGCAGGCAGCAGTTAAACTTGCTGGGTCACAGCATTGTCCTTATTTCTTTTTTAGACAATGATATTCCCATCAATAAAATGAGAATGTTACCTTTTACTTCAATGTTAAGATATTTTAGGCAGAAAAAGATTTATTTATTTTTACTTGAAAGATTTACAGAGAGGAGAGACAGAGATTCTATTTCCTGGGCTACTTCCTAAATGGCTACAGTAACTGGAGCTGAGCCTGTCGGAAACCAGGAGCCAGAGCTTCTTCCAGGTCTCCTAAGTGGGTTCAGAGGACCAAGGACTTCAGCCATCCTCTGCTGCTTTCTCAGGCCATAAGCAAGGAGCTGAATGGGAAGTGAAGTAGCTGGGACATGAACTGCTGCCCATATAGGATGCTGGTGCTGCAGGAGGGGAGGATTAACCTGTGGAGCCACCACGCTAGCCCCAAGACCTGCTACTTCTAAAATTGTGCTTCATTATGCAATATAGTTCAAGACACGTTTGATAGATATAGTTACAGCCTAATACTAGTGTATAAACACCAGAAATTTTGCTTTGGTAGTGACAACTCAAGAATCTCAGTGTGAAGGTGGTTTGAGAGTTCCTTTAGCCCTCTGGGCTAGGTTTGGAGGGTGCCTTTGACCTTCCCTGGTGAGGAAACCTTGAGATTTTCAGGAAAGTTTTTTGTTTGTCTTTTCAGATGTGTAAGATTGACAGTATCTTAGAAGATTTTTTTGTTTGTTTGGTTTTACACTTAGTTATTGAAAGGCAGGGGGAAAAACACGAGGATTTTAGATCCACTGGTTCGTTCCCCAGTGCCCTCTCTAGCCGATGCTGGGTTATGCTGCAGCCAGGAACCTGGAACTCCACTTGGTCTCACGTGGTCTGCAGGATCCCAGATACTTAAGCAGTCATCACCTGCAACCTCGTAGGAGCATTAGCAGAAAAGGAGGTCAGAAGTGGAGGTGCCAGGACTTGGACCGGGTCTATAAATGGCAGCTTAATGTACAGTGCTTACCTCTGATATCCGAGTTCTGGTTCAAGTCCCAGCTACTCTGTTTCCCATACAGCGTCCTATTAATGCATCTGGGAAAGCAGCAAGAGATGGTCAAGTAATTTGGACCCCCTGCTGCCCATGTGGGAGATGGGAATGGAGTTCCTGGCTTCTGACTGCTGGCCTGACCCAGCACTGGCTCTGGGGTTATCTCGGAAGTAAACAGCAGATGGGAATTACCTCATCTTTCTCTCCCTCTCTCTCTGACACTCTACTTGCAAATAACTAAATAAAGGAAGAAAATCGTAAGCTATTAAATTGTACCTTTGAATTTCTTTTATGTGTCATGAGGTGCAAAGATACAAGCGAGCTGCCTTAAAACAGGTTTTCCTCTCCAGAAGTAGTTAAAGAAGTCCTTATCTTTGTGAGTCTGTTAGCATTTTGCATAAAAATAAACTACTAAAATAAGAGAGGGTAATCAGGAAAAAGGACCCTAAAGAGAGGAAATACTTCTGTTAAAGGAAATGCTTCTGTTATACATTGTGCTGCATATGTAGTAATAGAATATTTGCCTTTCAGTAGGTCAGACTAAGGGAAGAAAGAGAAGGTATAGCTTATTAGTGATGAAACACTTTCTGTGTTCCAGGGATTATGGTTAACTGCTTTCCACACTTTGTCTTACTTATTCTCACCACAGACTGGAAGGAATGTGCTACTAGCATTTTCCTTTTTTTGTAGGTCAGGAAACAGATTTGCAGCGTTTAGCTTGCCATACTTAGTTTGTATGATAAGAGTGAAATTTAGTGAAGTTCAGTCTTAAGAACCTAAACTTAATGCTGTGCCTTATTGTACATCTATACCAGGACTAGGCTCCTGTGCTTAGTAATAAAATCTGGCTACTGTGCCAAAAATATATATATATATATATACACATATTTCTTTTAAAATATTTGTTAAATATCAAGAGGAAGAGGAGCTATGTCCTAATCATATGGATACTAATTAAAGCGGACTTTATTTTTCTTTATTTTATTATCACTTAAAATGGGGATTAGATTCCAGCCCTGTTCGAAATTTGCCGTCTTTCGGCCCTGAGGAGCCTGCTTATTCCACCAGAAGAGTGACGCGAAGTCAGCAGCAGCCCACCCCAGTGACTCCGAAAAAATACCCCCTTCGGCAGACGCGGTCCTCTGGCTCAGAAACAGAGCAAGTGGTTGATTTTTCAGATAGAGGTGAGTGAGTTTGGTGGGGCCTGGGCCCATTAGAGAGGATCTGCTCAGCTTTCTCGGAAGCAGGGCTTGCGTACTAATTGGCAAAATTCAGCGAAATTAATGCCGTTTGGCTCCTTTCCTATGTGTCCTGAGGACAGCATGGTACTAGGGTATTTTTTGAGGTCCACAGTAGCTAGAGGATGTTAGGTTGGATTTGTACAAGAGAAAAGGGACTAGGACCCTCTATCACAGATAAAGAAGGTTTGAACCAGATTTTCTTGCAGCAGGCTTTTCATCCCATGTGTCTAAATTTCTGAATGAAATTGGCCTTTAGTAAACAGGGAATAGTAGATTATTGAGATTATGTGGTTCATTAGCCCAAATCAGAAGCCTCCATGAGTTTAGCATGCAGACATGGTTGGTTTGCTTGCAGAGTGTTTATTTATTTATTTTTTTTTTGGTTAGTTGCCATTTTTTTTTTTTTTTTTTTTTTTTTTTTTTTTTTAAGATTTATTTTTATTATTTTTTCATTGGAAAGGCGGATGTACAGAGAGAGGAGAGAGAGAGAGGAAGATCTTCCGTCCGATGATTCACTCCCCAAGTGAGCGCAACGGGCCGATACTATGCCGATCCGAAGCCAGGAGCCTCTTCCGGGTCTCCCGCACGGGTGCAGGTTCCCAAAGCTTTGGGCCGTCCTCCACTGCTTTCCCAGGCCACAAGCAGGGAGCTGGAAGGGAAGCGGGGCTGCCGGGATTAGAACCGGCGCCCATATGGGATCCCGGGGTTGCAAGGCGAGGACTTAACCACTTGCGCCACCGCGCCGGGCCCAGTTGCCATTATTTGAAATCAAAAGATTTTCTGAAGAAGCCTGGACTAATATTTAGTTAATTCATTAATTAATTTAGTAGTCTAATTTTTTAAACAGATTTGGGAACATAGGGTGACCATGTCCTCACACTAATAATTGGCTAGAGTTGAGTAGTTGTTCCCCCTTTCACTGAGTAATCTCTGTTTGACCTTGTGGGCATTTGGTTTACAGTGCCTGTTTTAGAGCCTGGAATTTCAAGATCAACATTATTAAACTCCCAACAAGCTAACTCAGGAGCGTGCATCCATTTGCACACTCTGAGCAAGCCTGTTCAGTGTCATTCAGAATCACTTTTGTAATGGTCTATCCAGTAATATCTCCTGGATGATCCTGTTTTAAAATTTTCATTCCATTCAGTTTTAATTACCCATAATTAGCAAAGTAAAAACGATTGGGTAAGCCCCAAATTTAATTTTATTCATAATTTTTAAAGATTTATTTAGGGGGCCCCACGCAATTAGCCTAGTGGCTAAATTCTTGCCTTGCATGCACCAAGATTCTATACTAGCACCATTTTGTGTCCCAACTGCAACACTTCCCATCCAGCTCCCTTCTCGTGGCCTGGGAAAGCAGTAGAGGATGGCCCAAAGTTTTGGGACCCTGCACCCATGTGGAAGACCCAAAAGAAGCTCCTGGCTCCTGGCTTTGGATTAGCTCAGCTTTAGCCATTGCAGCCACCTGGGGACTTGGAGTGAATGAGCTTTGAAAGATCTTTCTGTCTCTCCCCCTCTCTGTAAATCTGCCTTTCCAATAAGAATATATATAATTTTTAAAAATGAGTTGCTTTCCTGAACAGTAGAGGGGGAGAGAGAGAAAGGTCTTGTGTCTGCTGGTTCATTCCCCAAATGGCCACAACAGTGAGAACTGGGCTGGTCTGAAGTCAGGACCAGGAGCTTCTTCTAGGTCTCCCACATGGGGTGTAGGGTGCAAGTGCTTGGGCAGTCCTGTGCTACTTTCTCAAGGTTTTGGGCCATCCTCCAGTGCTGTCCCAGGCCTTAAACAGGGAACTGGATGGGAACTGGAGCAGATGGGACTTGAACCAGTGCCCATATGGGATCCCGGTGTATGCAAGGCAAGGATTTACCCACTGAGCCATTGCGCTGGGCCCATTCATAATTTTAGGTTGTACCAAAAAAAAAAAATGGTGTTAGAGTCTCTTCATTTTCCGTTAGCATTGTCACATAAGTAGTTAAAATTGTACCGGTTAAGCCACAGAAAATAAACCTAGTAAGTCCATAAAGTCTTCTTAATAATAAATGAATGTGTTACAAACGAGTCCTATTTACAAGTTCTTTTCGTTGCTTTTGCTTTAGAAACCAAAAACACAGCTGATCATGATGAATCACCACCTCGAACTCCAACTGGAAATGCACCTTCCTCTGAGTCTGACATAGACATCTCCAGCCCCAATGTGTCCCATGACGAGAGCATTGCCAAGGACATGTCCCTGAAGGACTCCGGGAGCGACCTCTCTCATCGCCCCAAGCGCCGTCGCTTCCATGAAAGCTACAATTTCAACATGAAGTGTCCTACCCCAGGCTGTAACTCTCTAGGTTGGTGTGCCCTGCCTTGTAACTCCCTCTGGAGTTTGGGTCTTCCAGAAATAACTTTACCACCTGTAGTGATCTCGTTTCTTGGCCCCTTCATGAGGGTCACATGGTCAGAGCAAAAATGAAGTGCTCATTTGAATAAAGGCATTTCTGTTTCTTGATCCATAATGGTGGATCTACTTCTGAGGAATCATAATGAACATTCAGTCTATTGGGAACTTTTCCCAGAGGATAATTGTTTTTTCCTAAGAAAAGCAAACAAACCAACAAGAACAAAAGACCAGTTATCTACAGGTAATTCATGGAATGGCATTTGGGTCATATTTAATAGCACTAGTAGAACGTAGGGTAGTGCAGGCTAGTGATTGCATGGCTATGGCTGGTACGGGAATGAGGAAGACAGATTTCAAGAGGCTGTAAAACTTAAGAGCACATAGAAGACTCTGGCTTTTTGTAACTAGTAGTTTTTGATCTTGGGGCTTTAAGTACTTGATAAATATAAATGAGATAAAAATATTTGGTAGCCCATATTGTGAGACAGTAGGTTAAGCCACTGCTTGCAGTATTGTTGTCCCATAGGAGTGCTGAGTTGAGTCCAGCTGTTCCACGTCTGATCCAGCTGCCTGATAATGGGCTCGGGAAGGGAGTGGAGAATGCTCCAAGTACTTGGGCCCAATCAATGTAGAAAAGCTTAATGGAGCTGCTGGCTTTGGCTTGGCCTAGTTTCAGTCTTTGCAGCCATTTGGGAAGTGAACCAGCAGATAGAAGGTATCTCTCTTTGTAACTGTCTTTCAAGTAACATAAATCTTTAACACACACAAATGATTTCTTCTCAGATAGAAACATTGTTTATTCATTTGAAAGGAGTATAGTGAGAGAGAGGACTTCCATTCACTGTCACTACCCAGAGAGTCGTAATAGCTGGGCTGGGCCAGTCCGAACCCAGAGCTTCTTCCCAGTCTTCCAAGTGGGTGAGTAAAGGCCCAAGCATTTGGAACAGTTTTCACTAGTTTTCCTGGGTCACTAGCAGGAAGCTAGAAAGGCTTTACTTGTTATGCCACAATACCAGCCTTGATACATTTTTTTCTTAAAGATTTATTTATTTTTATTGGAAAGGCAGATATACAGAGAGGAGAAGAGAAAGAGAGGAAGATCTAATGTCCAATGGTTCATTCCCCAAGTGGCCACAATGGCTGGAGCTGTGCCAGTCTGAAGCCAGGAGCCAGGAACTTCCTCCAGGTCTCCCACATGGGTGCAGGTTCACAACGCTTTTGGCCATCCTCGATTGCTTTCCCAGGCCACAAGCAGGGAGCTGGATGGAAAGTGGGGCCACCAGGACATGAACCGGTGCCCATATGGGATCCTGGCGCGTTCAGATAGTCTAACAAGTTAAAGGCGTTCAAGGTGAGGACTTTAGCCGCTAGGCTGTCGTGCCAGGCCCCCAGCCTTGATACATTTTTAAAATTCTAAAATAACTTCTACCTGTTGCTAAAATGAAATAATAGGACCCAGTGTGGTAGCCTAGTGGTTAAAGTCCGCGCCTTGCACGTACCAGGATCCTATATGAATCCTTGTTCTATTCTCAGCAGCTCCACTTCCCATCCAGCTCCCTGCTTGTGGCCTGGGAGGGCAGTAGAGGGTAGCCCAAAATCCTTGAGGCCCTGCACCCTCATGGGAGACCTGGAAGAGACTCTGGGATCCCGGCTTTGAATTGGCTCAGCTCTGGCTGTTGCGACCGCTTGGGGAGTGAATCAGTGGATGGAAGATCTTCCTCTGTATTTCTAACTTTACAATAAAAATAAAATGAATATTAAAAGTAAAATGAAATAGTAAAACAGGATTGTTGTGGATAAAAATACACTTTCTAGCTTAAATCTTCTTGAGATTTTTTAAATCTTCATTCTTTTTGCAGGACACCTTACAGGAAAACACGAAAGACATTTCTCCATCTCAGGATGCCCACTCTATCACAACCTCTCAGCCGACGAATGCAAGGTACTTTCAATCTCACTTCTTAGCGCCTACTTGTGGAGTTCTTACCACTTACCAGGCATGTTACTAAACACTTGTGATTACAGTGATGAACAAAATGAGAAAGTTCCTTGTTTTTATATTCTGACACAGGGAACATAAGGAACAGTTGTCTTTTTTGAAAAGATAGTCTAACAAGTTAAAGACTTAAGTCCGCTTTGAAAGAAATTAACAAGGAGATTATCCACAAAGTATTTAGAACATCAATTGCTAGTGCCGTAATAAGTTTTCCATTGAGAATTGACTTCAGAAATTGATAGGGACCACTTCTGCTAAGGAATAATTTGTGTACATATATGACTTCAATGTCTCTACAGTAAGTTCTCTTCAATATATGAAGTCATTTTACTTTTACATTTAAAAAAATTTTTTTCCATTTCTGCAGAATGTTATTCTTAACACACCTACTCTTGGCTGATTCTTTCAAATTCTTGAAAACTGTAGTTCTGAAATATTCTTTGGGATTTAGGAGTAATGTCATTAGGCATAGAGCTCAAGGTCCTGTATTTTGCATGCTTCCAGGGGTTGCTGCTAGCAAGGATGAAGAGCTAATTATGGGGAAGCGAAAGTTGAAAATGTTAATTAAATGGATTGTTCAGGAATATCTAGACAAGTTATCCAAACTACTTACAGTTCTTTGGGTGCTTGTTGGTCCCTTGCTGATGAAGCCAGCACCGTAGGCTTATTCGTGTCTCTGCCAGGGTTGTTTGAGAGAAACATGGTTCCCTGGGCATTAATTCTTTGATTCAGGAATTTGTTCCCTTCCTTGAAGCTAAATTGTAAGGGTAAATGCTTTGTTAGGTGTTAGGCCTCCCGGCAGTGTAGTATACTTTCAGTGAGTATATGGAGTTTTAAGGTTGAGGACTCTTGTTTTTCTTCATTCCAAATCTCTTGTAAGCGAGGCAGTTTCTTCTTTGTGTGGGGCTTCCATTGTCTTACTAGTCTGCGGCTACAAAACAGGAACCAGCTCTGCCCATTTGCATTAGAGGCTTGCAAGGCAGGCCTTGAGAACTTGCTTGAAACAACTGTGATGTTGGTTGAGGGTTGTGCTGTGCTGAGTTTCTTGAGTGTGATGTGAAACTGGTTGGTTTTACATCAAAATCTTATTATGGCATAACTGTTTCTGAAGAAAATGTATTTCCATTTGATTTGAAAGACTTTTAAATAAATAGACAGAAATTGCCTTCTGATTCACTCCCCAATACCTGTATTGGCCAGGATTGGGCCAGGCTAAAGCTGGGAGTCCAAGTACCTGAGCCATTGCCCACTGCCTCAGGTGCAGTAGCAGGAAGCTCCCAGGTGGTTTAGGAACAGGACCGGACCTGGGGCCTCCAGGATGGATGCAGCATCCCAAGTAGTGTCCCGAGTGCTGTAGCCAGCAGTGTCAATCTGAGGAAGAACATTGTATAAAAAGGAAAACTCCAGTTGTGAATTTTTCCTCTTTGGTTCCCTCTGCTTCACAAGGGAATTGGGCTCAATGCAGTCCATCTTTACTACTGACACCTGTGCAATGGAAGAGCAGAATTTCTCCAAGATGGCATCTGTTTATTACTTTTAGAATCTCACATGGAAAGATTAGACTACTTACTCACATTTATGAAGAGCTGCAGAATTTTCAAAGTACCTACACATGGAGGATTACTCTGGAGGTCCCCAGTAAACCTTTGCAGTCAGCAGTGTTGTTGTTGTTTTGACTGAGTCATGTGAGTTTTTGTGACTGCATGTGCTAGATGCTCTTCCAGCTATCTGAGGAGGTAGAGCTGGCTGGAGTGGTCAAGGAAGACCAAAGGAGTTGGCCTTTGACCTGATACATGGGCGATGGCCAGAAGCAGTTTTGCTTAGTTCTGGGAGAAGACAGTCTAAGCAGAAGAGCAAGCACAGCAGCTGTGTGGCGGGGATGAGCTGGTGCGTTTGTGAGACTCAAGCTCCGCTCATGTAACTGGAGCATAATGAGAATTAAGGAGTCGTTCAGATCAGGAAGAACTTAGAGGCCTGGGCACAGAAGTATGCTTTTACTCTGAGCAGTAAGAAGCATTTGGAGAGCTTGAGCAGAGGCATGATATGGTTTCTTGAAACTTTGCAAAGTGACAGCTTGCTGGCATGTGAAGGATGGACTGTAGTAGCAAGGGTTGCCATGTGGCAAAGGATGCCCCAACAACCTGGCAGTAGGTGTGATATCAGTGGAGATTCTAAATGCAGGTTGGATTCAGGATATGTTTTGGAGGGAAGCACGCTTCTCAGCTTACTGTTGGTTCAGTGTAGGAGGACATTGTGACCCTAGAAAGGTCAGGGAGCACAGGATTACAGTTGATTGGATAAGATTTGTGTGAGAATAACTGAATGGATACCTTTTGTATAACTGATTGGACAAAAGAGAGTTCCAAACAAAAGTATAGAAACATTTGATGGGTTTTGCTGATAAGTTCAATACCTCCTCCCTTATCCCATATGATTCTCAGTGTATAAAGTCTGATGCCACTAATAAACTTCAGCTTTCCATCATCAGTCAGAGTCTACGTGTGTTAATATCCGCTCAGTGCACCAAGTCCATCGCTGCGGGACAGCTGACAGTTCGGTATGAGAAAGAGAAGTCCAGGATGACTTTCTAGTTTTTGATCTATTTAGGTGGTGGTGTTATTCATCAATATTGAGAAGATTTTGAGGTGGAGGATGTTTGTGGGGGGCATACTAGTGTTCTTATTTTATGGAGAAGTTGAATAGGCAATTGTATGAGTCCTTAATTCTTAGATGATGAAACTATTGAGAGTGTGCTTTGTCCAAGATGATCATGTAACTACAGAATTAACTCTGTATAGACTTGAACCAGGGTTTCCCAATGGTTGGGTTTTTTTTTTTGTTGTTGTTGTTGTTTTTTCTGGACACTTCTTAACTGTGTTCTTGATTTTCTGCAATTTCTTATCTGTTGTACAGTGGAAAGAGTCCAATTTTGGAATCATCAGACAATTAAAATTCTGACTTCACCACCAATTAGCTGTGATCGTATTACTTCTAATTCTCAGCTAATGGCTGAGAAAGCAGAATGTGAAGCTTGTAATAAATGTGAAGACTCGTTGAAAGTGAAAATGTACTGCAGATTCAAGGGGTTGTTCTTGTGCCTTCTGCTCTAAGTAAATGTAGTCTTAGAAACAGGTGGATTAATGATGTTGTTGGTGGTTGCAGGTGAGAGCGCAGAGCCGGGATAAACAGATAGAAGAAAGGATGCTGTCGCACAGGCAAGATGACAACAACAGGCACGCAACCAGGCACCAGGTATGGGCCTTATTAAAGCTCTAACCATTCACAGTGGGAGATCGGGATCTTCTTCGCCCTTGCAGTGTCTTTAGCCACACCATGCCTCTTGTTCCTGTCTCAATTACTGGTATTCAGTCAACTCAGAATGGTGTTGCTTTACAAGACAAACACTTACCTCGTGAAAAGGAAGTCTTCCTATCTCTAATAGTAGTAGTAGTAGCAAAATATCATTTTGATTATTGAAAGATGACTCTTGCTGCTTCATTTCATCAGTTTGCATCCTTTTTAATGCATTGCAATTTGCGTTTAAACCTCTCCACCCTGCTGGCACGTTTCATCCGTGACTTCCTAAGCATTTGACAACTTGCTGACTGTCATTTTTCCTTCCCGCCCATTGATTTCCTGACCGTGTCCTGACTGGCTCTGTCTTGATCCTGCTCCTGCCTCTTACCACTCTGCTTTGGTTGCCCTTGCTTGCCTGTTCTGCCCCATGCCTTGGGTCTTAACTCTTGCTGTTGCTCTTTTCCTGCCTATCCCTTCACACCTGTGCCAAGCAGAGACAGTACTCACCCTTGAAGACCTTGGGCAGCCCTCAGCTACTATAGGGTTTCTTACAGATCGTCTGCCACCATTAATGAATTCCCTTCTCATACATTCCCATGGTAATGTTAGCCTTAGCTTTTATCACCTAATGTTCTAGACGTCTGATCTAGTGGTTAGGTCATGAGTGGACAAGGAAGCATTTGGACTTTGGAGTGATACAGATGTGAATTTGAATGCTCCTGTTACCCTTGCTGGTTTTTCTGGCAGGTCTGCTGATTCGCCTCGACTTTATTTCCTTGTTAATACAAAGAGGTGAATAATGCTTACCTGGCTAGGAAGTCAGCTGTTTTGTATGTAAAATACCTGTCTTCAGTGGTTGGCAGGTAAAAATCTTCCCTAAATGACAGCTACCTTTTCTTCATTTTATATTTAGGCTTCTGTTCTTAGCCAGTTTGTTTATTTTTGTTTATTTTATTATGACAGATCAATAAAAATAACTTGGAAAACAGTAAGAGTTGTTAAGTATTTATTGGGTTGTAATTATCTTTGTTTAATTCCTGTTGCTTTGATGGAGACTTACGTCCTTGATTTAATAAGGGGCCGACATTGTGACCTAGCAGGTAAAGCCAACGCCTGCAATGCTGGTATCCCCTATAGGTGCCAGTTCAAGTCCCAGCTGTTCCATTTCTAATCCAGCTCCCTGCTAATGGCCTGAGAAAAGCAGCAGAAGATGATCCAAGCAATTGGGCCCTTGCTACCAACTTGCGAGATCCAGAAGAAGCTCCGGGTTTTGGCCTGGCTCAGCCCTGGCTGTTGTGGAAGATGTCTCTTTTCTCTTTCTCTTTCTCTCTCTGTAACACTTTCAAAACAAATAAATCTTAAAAAAAAATTTTTTTAAATAAATCTGCATTCCCAAATCCACATGTAGCTGGTGGTGAGGAGTAGTGACTTAGGTGATGATGAAACATAATTTGGGATTTGTAAATTACCACATTAGTTAGTGTGGTTTTAAGATTTCCAGCATTATCCTTTTTTTTCCCCTAACATTTGGTGCTTTCATTTTGAAGCTTTATCATGAGTTGCCTGGCTGGCTTCTCAGTTTTCGCCTTTTTCCTCTTAGGCACCAACTGAGAGGCAGCTGCGATATAAGGAAAAGGTGGCTGAACTCAGGAAGAAAAGAAATTCTGGATTGAGCAAAGAGCAGAAAGAGAAATATATGGTGAGGAAGAGTGAACTTCTCCATTAGCATGAATTCCGCTGTCACAGCTATTCCTTTCGCTTCCTAAGCTTCTTCTACCTGTCAGCCTTGCAGCTTGCTGTCCTCACTACAAGTGATTGCCAGGGGCCTTTCCTCTGTAAGTGGAGAATTTACTACTAGAATCTCTCCAAACTGGGCTGGTGAGATTGGAAACAGGAGGCCTTAGAAAAGTGAAATACATAGCATCATCAAAAATAGGATTAAAAGAGAGCAGTGAAATGCAATTAACTAAGTGCAAATTTTTTTTTAGCTTATTTTGGGGGATGGGCACTGTGGCACAGTAAGTTGAGCCACAGCTTGGGATATCCTCATCCTGTATTAGAGTGCCTGGGATTAAGTCCTGCCTTCGCTTCTATTCCAGTTTCCTGCTGATGGACCCAGGACACAGCAGATAGTGCCTTGAGAACTGGAGTTCCTGCTACCCAAGTGGGAGACATGGATGGAGTTTTCCTGGCTCCTGGCTTTGGCCTGGCCTGGCCTGGCTATTGTGTACATTTAGGGAGTGAACCTGTCTTTCTGAACTTCTTTTCTTTCATTCTACTTTTCAAATAGATAAATAAAGGAGGAAGAAAAAAGTTATTTTTTAGTTGTTTTTTTTTTTTTTAATTGGAAAGGCAGATTTTTACAGAAGAGGAGAGAAAGAAAGATCTTCCATCTGCTGGTTCACTCCCAGATGGCTGCAATAGCTGGAGCTGAGCCAATCTGAAGCCAGGAGCCGGGAGTTTTGTCTAGGTCTCCCTCGTGGGTGCAGGGTCACAAGGTTTTGGACCCTGCAAGTTACAACAGGGAGCTGGATTGGAAATGACGCAGCCAGGACAGAAACCAGTGCCCAATGGGATTCTGGCGCTTTCAAGGGAGAGGATTAGCCAACTGAACCATTGTGCCAGGCCCTGTTTTTCAGTGTATTTTAAAAATTTAATTATTTGATAGAAACTGGCAGAGAGTGATCTCTCACTAATGCCTAAACTGGGAGCCAAGTACTCTATCCAGGTCTCCCACTTGGGTAGCAGAAATCCATTTATTTGCTTGAAGAGTCACTGCTGCCCAACAGAGCCCACATTAGCAGGAAGAACCCAGACTCTCCAGGATGGAATACAGGAATTGACCTCTGAACCACTCAGCTCCAGAAGATATATTTTTCTTTTTAAGATTTATTTATTTTACTTGGAAAATTAATTACTGAGTTACAGAGGAGGGGAGAGGCAAAGAGAGAGAGAGAATCTTCCATCCCCTGATTTATTCTCCAGATGGCTGCAGCACCAAAGCTGGGCTGGTCTAAAGCTGGGAGCCAGGAACTTCTTCCAGGTTTCCAACAGGGTACAGGGGCCCAAAGACATGAGCTATCCTCTGCTGCTTTCCCAGGCCATAATAGGGAGCTAGAACAGCTGAGACTAGAACCAAGGCCCATTTGGGATGCCAGCACTGGCGGGCAGAGGATCAGCCTGTTGTGCCATGTATGTGTGTATGTTTGTGTGTGTGTGTATATATATATATATATATATATATATATATATATATAAAACTTCAGTCCTCTAGTTGTGCTGTGCTAGGATTTTAAAGGGTTAAATTTACTCACTAGAACAGATGGTATGACTTGGAAATGCCTGTAAAATTAAAAAAAAAATTGAAGCCTATTTGTAATCTTTTTTGTCTTAATGGAAAAATAAATTTCCTCCTTGATAAAAAGTATTAACTGGATAACAGATACTATAATAGTTTTTGATAGTACTTTAACACTTACATTAAAATTAAGTAATATTTAAAGAAAATTTAAATAGTTATAATTAACTTTAAAAGTAGTCGACATTTATAATAGTGAATATGGAATAATGGCAAGTATAGAAATGAAAACATTAATTCTACTAATTAAAAATAACCATAGCTTTGGGCCTGGCGCGGTGGCGCAAGTGGTTAAGTCCTCGCCTTGCACGCCCGGGATCCCATATGGGCGCCGGTTCTAATCCCGGCAGCCCCGCTTCCCTTCCAGCTCCCTGCCTGTGGCCTGGGAAAGCAGTTGAGGACGGCCCAAAGCTTTGGGACCCTGCACCCGCGTGGGAGACCCAGAAGAGGCTCCTGGCTTCGGATCGGCATAGTATCGGCCCGTTGCGGCTCACTTGGGGAGTGAATCATCGGATGGAAGATCTTCCTCTCTGTCTCTCCTCTCTGTATATCCGCCTTTCCAATAAAAAATAATAAAAAAAAAATTAAAAAAAAAAAATAACCATAGCTAGCATTTGGGATATGTCCTAGTCTTTCACATTAGCATCCTTTACAGTTATTAAGCTCTTACAATTCTTAGCACATTGGGTTCTGTCTTTTCACTAATTTCCTTGTTTAATTAAAAATTCTTAGAATTTCTTGCTTAAAGTTTAATGCTTTCGGGAAAAGATTTTAAAAATTACAAACATATTAATCTATGCTTAATGTTGAAAATACTAAAAATAGACCCTGAAATTTATTTACTTGACAGAGGTTGGTTTAGTGCCTTCCCTCAGTACCCACGGTGGTGAAGTCAGGAGCTTTGCTTCGCAGGTGGGTGGCAGGGACCCACCACAATCACTTGCTCCCTCTCACGGTGTACGTTAGGAGATGTAGAGCCGGGATTCAAACGCAGGCACCCTAATCAGGAATGTAGGTATCACAAGTGGTGTGTTAACCATTGAGAATAAAAATTCTGATAAAAATTGTCCTGTTAGGTAGAAACCTGGTCTTCAGTGTTTCTGAAGCTTTTTTTAATGTGTAATTGGAATGTTTCCCTCTTTAGTCAATAGGATGAATTATTAAACATATGGTTTACAAATAGAGATTGGCTTTACTAAGACAAAAATACTGCCAAACCATGTATTTAGTTTTTTGGCAGTCATCACTGTCTGAAAATGATGACTTTATGAATGAACAGATATAGGCCACAGTGATATGAATGGCAGATTGTGGAGTAGTGAATTTGTAGTGAAGACGCCTGAATGGGGTTTAGAGAGGGAGAACTCTAATGGTGGGCTATAGGGTCTCAGGTTGTATACTTGCCCCATCTTGTCCAGTATTTTTATCTGATAGAACAATTCCATTTAATGCGTGATAATGCTTCCTAAGACTTTGTAGTGACTCTGTGTGAGAGATGGTGTGTCACCTATTTTATATACCAGATCTGAGACTGTAAGTTATTTTCTCAAAACAATACAGGTATAAAGAATATCTGAAATAACATCTTGATTTTTCCATTCTGGTTTTTTATTATTTATTAAAATATTTATTTTTTGCTTATTTGAAAGGTGGGACAGAGGAAGTGATTGAGCGTGTGCATGCATGCATTCCTTCTTCCACATCTCCAGATGTGTACAACAGCTGGTGCTGGGCCAGGCTCAAGGCCAAAACCAGGAGCAGTGCCAGCCAAGTCTCCTACCTGGGTGGCATTCAGGTGCTCCTCTCAAGGGGGACATAAGCAGGAATGCTAAACAGGCACTATTGATAGGCTCAGCCCTCCTGAAAATTTTAATACTGTAATCTTTAGGAAAAGGTTATTTGGACTCAACCTCCTTGATGAAATGGTAGATAGGATTGTTTTTAAACCTTTGTGAAACTAGAAGAAACAGTTGATAGGTAGAACCTAAATCTTTTTTAATCTTCCTTTTTTTTTTTTTAAGATTTATTTGTTTTTATTACAAAGTCAGATATGCAGAGAGCTGGAAAGATAGAGGGGAAGATCACAAGTGACCACAGTGGCCGGTGCTGTGCCAGTCCGAAGCCAGGAGCCAAGAAACTCTTCCAGGTCTCCCATGTGGGTGCAGGGTCCCAAGGCTTTGGGCTGTCCTTGACTGCTTTCCCAGGCCATAAGCAGGGAGCTGGATGGGAAGTGGAGCTGCCGGGGTTAGAACCGGCGCCCATATGGGATACTGGTGCATTCAAGGTGAGAACTTTAGCCGCTAGGTCACGCCACTGGGCCCAGAACCTAAATCTTAAAGTCCAGATTTGAAAAGTGTGTCAGCAAAAGGTGAATGGTTTCTTCAAATGCCAGTAGATGTGTGGAATCTGTTCTGTTCTTCCTGGGGTGCACAGTGCTCTCCTTTTAGCAACCTTTATCTCCTTTCTCTGGGTGGGAGGTGGAGTCTGAGGAGCAAGTGGGAAGGGCTAAGAAGCTTTAAAAGAGGAAACTCCCCTGGAGAGCATTCTTTGCTGAGAAAGGATCCTTGCAGGGGTTACCATGGTAAGATGCAAAAGTTAGTTTCTCTGACTTCCCGTTTCCTACTAAATACTGCTTGAAAATGGGAGAACTGCACTTTTCAGGAGCGGTGTAACGGCAGGTGCTGCAGTTCCCACAGGGTTCAGCTGTTTCTCCCTCCCTGCAGACTATTTCCATCTAAAATCTTAAAAGCTAAGGTTTGGAGAATCTGATTTTTTGTTTGTTCTGGTTTTATATTAGAAAGTTATCTAACCAGGTTTCCTCCAGCTCTTAGGACCCTAGGAGTTTGTAGTGTATTCTGGATTTGTTGCATTTGATTTTTGATGTTTGAGGTCTTGAGGAAAAGAATGAAACTCCTTTCTGGAGGCTTGCCGGGATCAGTAGCAGGATCTTCTGGCATTAACCTGATGAAGTATGTGTGTAATACCGACCACATACACACTAAATTAATAGATCGTGATTGGCAGGGGTTGAAATGTTGTTTTTATAAGCAGAGAGTATCACACTCTGGTTTTTTTCGTAGGAGCACAGGCAGACCTATGGGAGCTCTCGGGAACCGCTTCTAGAACACCTGACCAGCGAGTATGATTTGGATCTCTTCCGAAGAGCCCAAGCCCGAGCTTCAGAGGATTTGGTGAGTGAAAACTGCCGAGCCAAGAACCCCTGGAAGGGCTTTGGTAACAGCCAGTTAAGAAAAAATGGTCAGCAGTTGGGAGTTAGAAGACCCAGCTTGATTCCTTTCCCCTCCACCGACAGCTATGCTAATCTTGACAATGTCCTTCCCATTGTTATTTAAAACTAGTCACCAACTCCCTTCCTCCTACTCTACAGTTTTGCCTTCCTGTCTGTCTCAACTGGAAGTTCCAGTTTAGCTGGAGGTGGAAGACTGGATAAAGCCGGAGGTACTCCTTTGTTTCAGTTGGATAGTTGACGTTTCTGAGTCTCTGGCCTGAGTGATCACCATCTTGGGGGGCTTCCACACCCAGCTAAAGAGCTCCCCTTTTCGGGGGAAACTGTGCTAAAAGTGTATCTCCTAACCCTCACCCCTTACTGCCTTTCTTTCTTTTTTTTTTTTTTTTTTTTTTTGTGAGTTGTTTGAAAGACAGAGCTATCCACTGATTGACCGCCCTAATGGATGCAGTGGCCCGAGCTGGGCCACCTTGCAGCCAGGAGCTCTCAGAATTCCCACTTGGGTGGCAGAAACTCGGTGACTTAGACAAGTTTCTATTGACTTTCCTAGGAGCATTCGAAGGGAACTATGTCAGAAGCTGAGCAGCCAAGACTCAAAAACCAGCATTTCTGTGGAGGATACTGGCAGCTGCTTAACTTGCTAAGCCACAGCACTTGCCCCTTCTGCTTGGGATTGAAAACTTGTAAAGAAGCAGAGTTTGTTGGTTAGTATAGGCTGTGGCTGCTGCCATTTTTTTTTGGATTGGTGAACTTCTTAGCCAGCGTTACAAATTCCTCCTGCAGCCTGTAAAGAGAGAAATCAAACATTTTCTGCTTTTCAGAGTTCCAGAATTAAATCATCAACTCCAGTGCCACAACACATTTTTTAAAAAATAAAAGGTTTATTACTTAGTTTGAAAGTGGACATTGTGGGTTTGTCTCACAGAGATTCACACTGCTGGGTAAGAGCTTCTGCAGATAAGTAGGGCACATTCTGATCTCTTCTCTTCACTGTTACACTTTGTAGGGGTGGAGAGTCCCTATCTGTGGCAGATTATATTTATCGGTTGGTTTGGCAGGAATTTGTGTATCTGCCAGATTACCCTTGTCATTTGGTTTGGCAGAGAAAAATTGTTGCCAAAGACTCGCTCAGATGAGGCTCAGAGTGGGATAGGGAGTAGAGAAGCCACTTTATTGAGATCTGTGCTCTGGGCGGAATAAAGAGTGCCTTGGCTCTAAAGCCTGCCTGGTTTTCCATGCTTACGTAGTCCTCCTTGATGTAAGTTTCTCGTGGATAAAATCTGATCTCCGTTGCCTGGGACGTGGCGCACACACACAAGTTTAGGCTTTTAAAAATAAAGACGATCAAGTCCTCTTTTGTGTCTTCTTGGTAATAGGAGAAGTTAAGGCTTCAAGGTCAAATCACAGAGGGGAACAACATGATTAAAACAATTGCTTTTGGCCGCTATGAGCTTGATACTTGGTACCATTCTCCCTATCCTGAGGAATACGCAAGGCTGGGACGGCTCTACATGTGTGAATTCTGTCTAAAATATATGAAGAGCCAAACGATACTTCGCCGACACATGGTAAGTTGCCTTGGGTTCTGCCTTGCCCATGAAGGCCACGCACTTTAGGCTCTCCGGATTTTGCTCGAGAGATGACGTCTGTCCAGCCAGCTAAGTGGTCCACAAGCAGTGAGACAAAGGGATAAGAAATTGAAAGCCACATTTCAGGGCTTCTTTTTGTTTTTCTATATTTTTAAGGTGTAATATTTATTTGAAAGAGTTACTGAGAGAAAGACATAGAGCTTTCCTCTGCTGTTTCACTCTCCTGACAGCTGAGGCTGAGCCAGACTGAAGCCAGGAGCCAAGAGCTTCCTGGTTTTCTAGTAAGGTAGAAGGGGCCCAAATATGTGGTCCATCTTCTACTTTTCCCAGGCACATTTTCAGGGAACTAGCAGTCAGGATTCATCTGGTGCCCATATGGGATAACTGCATTGCAAGCAACAACTCTGTGAACTAAGCTGCAAGATGTTGCCATAGTGCTGGGCCTTGCAGTCTGTGGCATGGCAGGTATCTGGTGGCACCCAGAGGGTGTAGTTGACAGCTCTTAACCACATCCTGTCATGTGTCTCCCTGTCTTCTATCCTTATGCCCTTTTAGCCATTTCCTCCTTGGAATCTGGATTACCTCTGCCCACAGTTTCTGTGTGTCTTCACTTGGCATCCGGACAGCCTGGCTGACCTTGGTATCTGTGGCTGCTTATGCAGGCAGTGGCTGCTCAGGAAATGAATATTGATTTAAGAGAGATCTGCCTGTGACGGATCATACCATTGATAGAGTGGGTCTTTTGATGCCTCCTCCTACAGCTGTTTAATGCTTTCTGATTTAATTTTTTTAAATGTATCTATTTGAGGGGTAGAGCAACAGAAAGAGGGAGAGAGAAATCAGTCTAGCATGGTCTGTTTCACTCTCCCAAATAGCTACAACAATAGCTGAAGCCAGGAAATCTATGCTGACATCATACATGGGTGACAGGTGCCGCCACCTGCTGCTTTCATGGTGCACATTAGCAGGGAGGTTGAGCAGAAGCAGAGCAGCCAGGACACATGACATGCCAACATTTCAAGTGTGATTTAACATGTTGAGTCATAGTCTCAACCTCTGGTTTTATTATTGCCTGGTGTGTTTACTAGAATTTTTTTTGTAGCTTTAAACAACTTCATCTTAAAGGGCATTTGTGCTGTGGACAAGGCAGAGGAGCCAATGGATCTCATTTTCACTCTGAGACCTTTTACAGTATCTTCCTTCCCCTTCCATTGTTTGCTGCAGGATTTCTATATGCTAAACATGCCCAAACCAGGCTTCCTGGTGTTTCTGATATATGCTTTTCCCCAGCTTGGTGATTCTGCTTCTTCTGTTCCCAGTTTTGGAGCACATGATTTGCAGAGTTGTGCCCCAGAACTGCTCCCTTGAATTAAAGCTCCAGCTTCTAACAGCTCTGCCTTGTGTGGGAATAGAATAATGGGGTGGGAGGAGAAGGTGATGGGTGAGGACTGATTGGAATACTAGAGGGTAAAAATAATGGTGTCAGGAGGACAGGGCATTGTTGCAGATAATAGACCATCGGGAAAGATAAATCTGAGTATTAAATAGCTGGATTATATGAGTTATAAAAATCAAATTTCAGGAAATACTGCTTGTTTCAATCCATGTGTAGTCCGATTCCCATTGCTTTTAGTGTAACTGAAATCTTTGCTTCTGTTCTAAGTAAATCATTGTTGCATTAGTTTGAGTATTGTAAAAGAGCCGGCGTGAGTGTGTGTGGTGGTGGTGGGGCAAGAGATAGCAACAAGCTATAGGTGGAACTTCCTTTTTAAAATATTGTATTTTTAAATTTCATTTTGCCCTGTGCCTAAAGGCCATAAAAATTAACATGTATAAGGTTGTTACTTTTGATGTATTTCCCAGCCCAAAAGGACCTATATAAGCTTCTGTCTTGGGCTGTTCTGGGTCTGTCCGCCGGCTTGGCTGGCCTGTGTGCCCCAAGTGCAATCTGACCCCAGCTTGCTGGTGCAATAAACTCTGTTTGCTGTTTGCATTAAAAAAAAAATTCATTTTGTTTGTTTCAAAGAGTTACAGAGAGAGTAAGCAAGAGGTGTTTTAACTTGCAGAGCTGGGTCAGGCTGAAGCCAGGAGCTTCCTCTGGGTCTCCCACATGGGTGGCTGGAGCCCAAACATTTGGGCCGTCCTCTACTGCTTTTCCCATGCCATCATATCAGAAGTGCAGCAGCCTGGACACAAACCAGCACCCACAAGGAATGCTTGCATTGCAGTCAGTTGCTTTGCTTTACCTGTTATACAAACCACAGTACCAGCCCTGTGGAACTTTTCTTGAAGCAATTTCAATTAATAAATATTTGAATGTATACTGACAAATTTAGAGTATGATTCCCAAGTTGACCAAAAGCACTGTAAGAAATTGGTTTAATAGAAAAATATTCTATTCTGTGTGCGTATACTTCTAAAACAATATTTTTAAATGTGTTTGTGTAAAAGAACTTTAATAGTTGTTACCCTTTAACCTTGCTGGGTGACTGGCTGTGTTAACAGTAGTAATAGGTAAAGGTGGTGCCTTCTGCCCCCTGGTGGCCAAGTACCCCTCAGGCTTCTCTTTTGCCACTGAGACTTTGTGAGACTTTCGGTTTTGTATAATGAGGGAAACACGTTTGAAGTGTAGTGGAGCACGGATTTTATCAGTGTGGTAGTTTTTCTAATTTGAAAAGAAGACCCTAAAGCCTAGGTGATAATGAGAAGTTACTGGGAAAGGTGAAAATAAAGCACTTAGCAACTAACTAAGCTGCCGGAAATAAGCTGCTTAAGAATTTCCTGTTGGTGTGTGCCATTTTATAAGCAAGGGTATTCTTTTTTATCTGGCTTTTATGTAGTGTGTGATTTTAATCTCTTGGACTGAAGCAATGCCGGAATATAATCCAGAAAACTTGTTCTAAACTGCTGTAACAATGTCATAAATACATATTTGACTTTCAAAGCCTTTATTTGTTTTACTGGAGGAAAAAAATGTCCCTTTTGCTGGATGAATGTGTCCAGCTTCCCCTCAGTTCATTAACCACGTTTGACCCCTGAGTTCTTTCTTCTTGTACAAGGCAGTTTGGTCAGAGAGGCTTTGATTGCTGTTTGAACTCCATTCTCTTGCAGGCCAAGTGTGTGTGGAAACACCCACCAGGTGATGAGATCTATCGCAAAGGCTCAATCTCTGTGTTTGAAGTGGATGGCAAGAAAAACAAGGTGAGAGGTGCTGGCCCAAGAACGAGCAATGGCAGTGTGTGCCCTCACAGGCCTCTGGCCTTTGTCCGCATCACAGCTTTACAAAAAGCTTTACGTAAAATTGTCTTTTTGGCAATAGGAGAGCTCTGTCTCCTGAACAATAATGCTATAATCCTGAAGTTAGGCCTTTATCTGATAAGTTTAGAACTCACTGACCCACATGTGAACTCTGTTTCTCTGCTTCCAGATCTACTGCCAAAACCTGTGCCTGTTGGCCAAGCTTTTTCTGGACCACAAGACCTTGTATTATGATGTGGAACCCTTCCTGTTCTATGTGATGACGGAAGCGGATAGCACTGGCTGTCACCTGATTGGCTATTTTTCCAAGGTTAGCAGCATCTGGAGATTAAAAACCTAATGGCTGGAGAAGGGTGATTAATGTTGGCATTCGGGGGCTCAAATTATGAACTGGAAAAGTGGAACTGAAAGCAATGATGACATGACAGTCTTTCTTTACAAGAGGGTAGGGAAGCCCATGTGTGAGTTATTTAATGAAAATGTGCAGTTTCTTTATTAAAAGCTTGTGGCTTATTTGCTTTTGGACTTGTGGATTGCAGTTGCCTATTAAAAAGACAAATATGTAGTATTTATTTGCAGGGAAGAGTTAGGGAAACATAGAATAATCTTTGATGCACTGGTTCACTTCCCAAAGAGTCCAGGCCCGGGCCAAGGTAAAGCCAGGGTCTCCCACATTTGTGGCAGGGGCTCAAACATTGGGGACATCCTATACTGCCCTCCCAGCCCATTAGTAGAGAGCTGAATTGGAAGTAGAGCAGCTGAAACTCAAATGGGATGCCAGTGTTGCAGGCGGTGGCTTAATCCACCATGCCACAATGTTGACTCCTGGAATTGCCTATTAATTAACTGACCAGGGCCTTCCCTGCTGTCCCACAAGTCCACTTTGTACAGACAAGCTGACTCATGGTTTTACCCTTCTCTGTGTCATTAGCTTAAAGCCAGGAATGCATTCCTTTTGTCTGGTTCTTTAGCCAGGCTCCTAGCATGGTCCTTCCTGGCATAACACCACTCTGCCTTTATAGATCAAAGGTCAGATTTGGCTTAAGACTTTTTAATATAAATGAAACTGTACACTAGATAATTTAGTTGTTTAGGTCCCCCTTCCAGAATGAGAATTTACCATTTTGTTTCCTTCATTTCTCTACCATTAAGCAGTGTTTTGTTTTGTTTTGTTTTTTAACTGCTCTTCAGGAACTCCCATATACTGACCCTGCAGTTGGAACCCTGTTGTCCTGCTCTGTGACTGAGATGACACCAGGGGTAACCCCTTAAAATGAGACCAGAGGTTTCAGAGCTGGGAAGAACTTGGGGTTAATAACTTTGCCATCATCGAGGGTGTGACAGCTGTTAGCCTGACAGCCACTCCCCAGCATTAGTTAGCCATTTGGTTTGTAGCCACCGTGGGGGTGCTGAAACCTTTGCTTCCAGATTTTAGAACCTGCTTATCTTTTTGCTCTTGATTTTAGGAAAAGAATTCATTCCTCAACTACAATGTGTCCTGTATCCTGACCATGCCTCAGTACATGAGACAGGGCTATGGCAAGATGCTCATTGATTTCAGTAAGTGAAACTGCTAAGTTGTAAGCTCCATAAGGCAAGAATCTCATGCATGCTGACTGGTTGTCTATCCTGTGTCCCCTGCAATTACTGGTATGTAGGGCAAGTTCATTGATACTTGGGAAGTGAGTGAATAAATGGGGAAAATCTGAACACCATCAGTCCACCTAATACATGTTGAATACTCAATGCAGAAACCTGAGTGGGTACTTAAGAAGAGATGGAGAGGATGAAAAAGTAAGCGCTTTAGGATTATCCTGGTTTGAAACTTAGGGCACATCCATGCATAGGGCTACAAATCTGTTCCTTGATGTTAGGGATTTCACTGTTGAAGGGCAGTCGATAGACCTCAGAGTAGCACACATTGTCCTTGTTAACCAAGGATTCTATTTGCAAATCTGCCTACTCGATGAATTTGTGACCCCAAAGTCAGTGGTTTCAAACACACCAGGAGAAATCAGAGTCACTGGGTGCATGTGTATTCTAGCTGAGCTCAGGATGCTTTTATGCCACGAACAGGTACCTCTTAGCTGTTAGTCCCATTTGTCTGTACGTGTGTGCTTGCTGATGGTGCTTTAAATGGCCCTTTAGCGTAGTGCTGGATTGCTGCCTAGTATTCCTCAGCGCCAAAAGGCTGATATACCTTAGCCTGGTCAGTTATGAGTTACAGTGTTGTTGGTCAAGAATTCAGGATTAACTAAATCAACTTATATATCTGTATCACATGTTTTGAACAGAAATAACATCAAATAAGAGGATGTATGTTCTGATTGGTGAGTATGTGTTCAGACTCAAAGGACTCCAGTCCTGGGTTTCTTCTGGTGGTTCGGTGTTTTCAGGGACCATGGAACACAGCCATGGTGAATGAAGACAATGTGCTGTGTCTTATTCATTGTCCCCTCTACCATATGACTTAACTCTAATGAAGATTAAAATTAGCCTTCTGTGCCTTTTTTGAAGATGTATCTATTTCTTTGAGAGGCAAAATGACTGAAATCTATTCAGTCCCCAAAAGCCTTCAACTGGCCGGGACGAAGCCAGTGGGAAGCCAGGAGCCAGAAACTCCATCTTGGTCTTTCCTGGGTGACCTGCATGCTGGCATCATCTGCTACTTTGGCAGGTGGCTATTTTTTTTTTTTTTAAGGTCTATTTATTTGAAAGGTAATGTTACACAGAGAGAAAGAGAAGCAGAGATCTTCCATCTGCTGGTTCAATGTCCAGAGCTTCATCTGGGTTTCCCATGTTGGTGCAGAGGCCCCAAGGACTTGGACCAACTTCCACTGCTTTCCCAGGCTATTAGCAGGGAGCTGGGACCAGAGTGTGGCATCCGGGACTTGACCAGTGCCATATGGGCTGTCAGCATTACATGCTGAGAATGAGCATTCTGTGCCACTGTACAAGCCCCTCCCCTCTTCCATTTTTTAAGCCACCAAGGAAGATGAATCAGGAAGTACATAATTTACTGAGAGTGGACTCTTATGTTTTTGCATAGGCAACAGCTTTTTTCATAAACTTTAATTATGGATATTGTCTAACAGACACAGAGGTAGAATATAATAAATTCCCCTGTACCTTTTGCACAACTTCAGTAGTTATCATTTTTAAACCAATCTTACTTAAATTTTCACCTTCAGTTATTTCAATATCTGCAAAAGATAGGTTTATCATGTCTTGAAAGAGACACACGTATACCCCCTCCCCCCCAAAAAAAAGCAATTCCCTGTTTTTAAAAATTTTTTTAAAGTCATTTATACTCAGATCTAAGTAAAACTGATGCTAGGATTTGTAGATATGAGTTGTAATTCTTTTTTTTTAATCAGTTTCCATTTAATTCTTTGTTTCCTTATAGCTGTCTTTGTTGTTACTGAAAAACTGGCTAGTTGTTGAGTTTTCCCAAGAGATGAATTTTGCTGAATGCTTCCCCATGGTGTTGATTTATATTTCTTACGTAATTTTGTAAACCTTGACTATTTAGATGTGTAGATGTTGTAACTAGAGATGACTTCAAATTTCTTAACATCCTTTAGTACTTCATAGGTGATACTCAGAAAATCTGTTAAAATTCAAAACTTAGAAAAAATAAGCTCTATGATAACATGGCTTCCTATTTACCCCATTCCAGCACCTTCTGAAGACCTTGTTATTACAGTTTCTGGTAAGGCCCTCTGGAGAGAATTTCTTTCCCCTGTACAATTTCTTTCCTCTGTACAATGACAGAGTATTGTATGAGAGAGCCACGCAGATCGTATTCCGCTGAATGGCTATCGCTTTACCTGCCGTTGCCAAGCAGGATCACACCCTTCTGGGTGTCCACGCTGTTCTTTGCTGTGTTACCGAGTTGTGAGGAAAAAAGTACCTATTGGCTCTTTTGCAGGTTATTTGCTTTCCAAAGTAGAGGAAAAAGTTGGCTCCCCAGAACGCCCACTCTCAGATCTGGGACTCATCAGCTATCGCAGCTACTGGAAGGAAGTGCTTCTCCGTTACCTGCATAATTTCCAAGGCAAAGAGATTTCTATCAAAGGTTGGTTTTTGACTGGAATGGCTGTTACCTGACTCTTGTAGCTTTTCACCTGGCCCTGTTGATGCTTTGTAACCTGCCAAGAGAAATGCTGCAATGTACCCCTTACGGCAGGTGTATTCATGGGTCTTGGGAGCTTCTGAGCCCCAGGAGTGAATGAGTTTGTCGCTGCAGTTTGATGTTGCTTATGTTAAAAAGTCAAGAAGAAAAAAAAATTCTTCCAATCTTGCCACATGCAATAGCTACTAAGAAAACATCCTTGTGTATTTATACAAGGGTAGAAGAGTTTAGTTTGGTATATATTTGGCCTCGATTTCTGATTGGTCTAGAGTAGCTTCTTGCTGCATGGATCATGCAACTGGTCTGTGAATTATTTCTGAACAGTTTGTGTTGAGTATCGAAGGTTCAAACCACTTGCTTTCCGCTACGGGACAGGAGACTGCAGTTGAGAGGTGTCGGGCCTGTGCTCTGGGCAGGTTCTCACTCGCTCTTCCATTGCAGAAATTAGTCAGGAGACGGCTGTGAATCCTGTCGACATCGTCAGCACTCTGCAAGCCCTTCAGATGCTCAAGTATTGGAAAGGAAAACATTTAGTTTTAAAGAGACAGGTAAGTTTTTGTTTTTTATCAGCTGATTGATTGCTCCTTGCGGCTTAGCTGAACCAAGTGCAGAGCTTTATTTGACCATTCACACCTCTTCCTGGGGTTCATTTCTTTAGCTGGCGGGGCTCTTGTTATTGCCCCCGTTAGGATGCTTATCGCCTCTCTTATCCTTTTCAGAAGCTTTTGGTAAGCTCTTTGAAATGTGGAGGACAGAGTTAAGCAGCTTTGGGTTGCACAGCATGATTACCATTTAATTTTCTTAGACTGAAGAAAATTGCCCATCTGTAAAGGCAGTTTTGTCAACTCTAGGGCACGTATGTGGAAGTGGGTTTAAATTCTCTGAACAAATGCTATCTCTTTATTACTTTTAATGTTAACCCTTTCCTTCTTGATTGATAGTCTTCTCGGAATCTAAAAATGTTTTAGTTGAAGGTGTGTAATACTTTTCCCCATTGTTCTCCCTAGGACCTGATTGACGAATGGATAGCCAAAGAGGCCAAACGGTCCAACTCCAATAAAACCATGGATCCAAGCTGCTTAAAATGGACCCCTCCAAAAGGCACTTAAAGTGACCTGTCATTCCGAGCCAGCGAACCCCAAGCAGTAGGAATCCATACCCTAGGGATCTGTCTGTCATTTCTGTTGTTCTTGTGATTGGCAAGTACAGTATCCTTTGGGAAGGCCATCCCCCTCAGGACTGTCCTGGCTCCGCCCCTTGTGTACACTGCAGACGCTGGTTCTGAGGAACTGTTGTTTCGGCCTCAGTGAGGTTGCCTGGCAGGGCTCTGCTTCCGACTCGATGCAGAACCCTCATAGCACTGACCCAAGGAGTTCTGTTATGGTACTGTACCTGTCCAGTCACTGGTTCTCTCCTCATGTCCTCTAGCCCCATGAGGTTGTGTTGTGTCTTCTGAACTTTGTACTAGTGCTTCTTGCCACCTGGTCACCAGACCTCCAAATACGGTTGCTGCCACCAGGACCCTTCCAGTTCCTCCTGATGCAAGTGTTTTGTGCAGGGGCAGGGAAGAGGTAGCACTTGTGAGAGTGTGTGTGTGTGTGTGTGTGTGTGTGTGTGTGTGTGTGTGTGTGTGTGAACACGCACTGGGAGGGATTCATCACTTTGGATTTCATATTGCTTTATTTTTTTTTTTCTTTTTTATTCAAAGATGTGCTTTTGATCAGTGGAGCTGACCAGAGCCACATAGTTCTGAAGAGTTTCAGTAACATCACAGAATCCATCTTGAGATGGAAGGAAGAATTAAGAGGGAGTGATTGTGTATTTTGATTTGAGTTTACCTGTAGGCAATGGACAGTGGCTTGGTGGATAGGAATGGAAACTTCTTTTTGCTTCACCAAAAAGTGCCCGGTAGTCAGTTTTTTTTTTAACTCCCTTGTCCTTTACGTTTGCAGGTGCCAAAATAACAGTTCTCTCTTCATGCAACATGTTAGCTCATTGATTTTACTGTAAAAGCCTTTTCACTTGTTCCAACAGTACATGGTACTGTGCACCTATACTTTTACATGAGTTGCTCGGATTTTATCCCAAACATCTTGGGAGAGAATTTGAAAGTGACTGAAAATGACTTCTGAGTCTCAGCCTGTGACTCAGCAAGGCAGAATGGCCACCCCCGCCAAGGTCTGCTTCTCTTTTCAGCTGTGCCTCACCCTCCTGCTAGGACAAAAGTGTTCTGCCCCTCCAGGAGCCCTTCCTCCTAACCCTGGCCTTCCCCTGCTTCCTTTCTGGGATTTGCCAACTTCTACTCTCTGGTCTCCTATTTCTGGTGTTGTGCAAGTAAAGGAAGAGATGCTCCCTCTAATTTCCCTCTGGCCCGTTATAACCTGCTATCTTGGAGCAGTTTTTGATGTCTTGACATGTCACCCTGCCCAGCTTGGTCTCCTACAACACTGCTGTCTTCATGTGGCGCCTTCACCACAATCCCGACGATGGTCATTTGTGCCTTTCTCTTGTCATCTCTGTACACTACTTATATTCACTGTGGGTCAGGGGAGCTAATTTTAAGCATGTTCAGTGGCAGTTCCCCTCCAGTTTCAGTGTCACTGTTAAAATTTATCCAAAAGCAACTTCACTAGGGGTTTTCTTAAGGGGTAAAGGAAGGCCTTTTACAGCCGCTAAACCCTTCCCCACTTGTGGTAGAATGTGCTCTTCTATATCTACTCTTCAATAAAGCATGTTCTCTGCTCAAGTCTTGTTTCATCCAGGGCTCTCATTTATGTATGAAAACAGTGTCGTTGACCTGCTGTTAACAGTAAATCTACCTGGGGTTTGTTTTCTCTAGCAGCAAACCGTTGAGGGATGTGGTTTGTGGCTGTGGAATTGTTTTCCACTGTCATGCAGGCTGTCTGCTAGAAGGAGTGCTAACTTCGAACTTGTCAAGTTGCTGGAACAGATTCAGTTTGCCTACTTTGTATTCAAATTGATAGGTATACATATCCTTGACCAGTCAGTTCCACTCATTCCTATATTGATTTCATTTTCTTCTGGTTTTGGAGGGGCATTGGAAACAGTAAGAAGTTAGATTAGATGCGCGTACAGTCAGTAGTAACTTGAGGAACGCAGGCACAGGCATGTCCCTCTTCCAAGCATCGGTGCGAGCAGCGGCACCGCTAATAATTGACTGTGCCAAGTTGAGGGGAATGTGTTTCTGGAAGTTGCTGAGTCTCCAGGGCAGAAAAGGGGAGAGTGAGCACTCACATATGTCTGCTGGTTTTGCTCATTGTGGGCAGCAGTGGTGTCTATCACAGTAGATAGACCAAGGATCCTTCTTTATAGGGCTGTAATAATATATTTAGAATAAAAGATTTCTCTAGGTTGTAGCCCTTACACATATGGAGACAACATTCGTTTCCTTTGGCAACAGCAAGGGAAGCTCTCAAGCTTCTTGAACATTTTGTTATTTGCGTGAAAGAAGCTTGGGCTGCTTGGCTGCCTGCCTTGGAGGAGCACAAGCCTGCAGTTAGTCCTCATCTAACTTCAAGCCTGTCCTGTGGCCACACCTCTGGAGGAGACGCATGCGCGTGCTAATGGCCTCACGTGTGCTCAGCACTGGACCCCTGCCATGTTTACTCTCAGCTGACCCATTTCTTAGCGCTGTGCGGCAGGTCTTCCCAGCAGTGCTGCAGAATAATCTGGAACCTAGGGCAAGCCAGAAATCGCATTCTGTTCTGCCCAAGCTGGCTCTAAGTTGAAGCTCCCAGCCTCTTTACCTTGTGCTTCAACTGTTGTGCTGCAGGGGTTAATCAGCCTTCCTGGTAGTTAAGCTTTTTTTTTTTTTTTTTAAAAAAAAAACAGATATACATGTTTCTATGTGATTTACATTGCTAGGAGAATGAAGGAAAAGATTCAAAGAAACTGATTTTAGTTGAGCCTGGAAGCAGCCAATTGAGGCCATAGTTCTCAACAAGAAACAAAAGGCGTACTTTACTTGAGCGTTACTTCCTGTTGAGGAGCAGGCTGTTGAGTGAGCTCTGTCTCTAGTGTAAGGCAGGCAGCACATTTTTCTCCTAGAGTATGTAAAGTAAGTAGAGGTCTTGGTGCTAGGTGATAACAGAATTTAACAAATGCTGGGGCTTGCACATTGGCTCAACTGGCTGATCCTCCACCAGGCATCTCATCGGTGCCAGTTCATGTCCCAGCTGGCCCACTTCCCATCCTGCTCCCTGGTTGCATCCTGGGAAAGCAGTAGAGGATGACCTGTGCCCGCAAGGCAAACTAACAAGAAGCTCCTGGCTTTGGATCAGCTCAGTCCAGTCATTGTGGTCATCTGGAGAGTGAACCAGAGGATGGACGACCTTCCTGTCTCTCCTCTAAAAATCTGCTTTTCCAATGGAGTCTAAACATTATATCTTTGATGCTACCAGGAGATCTGGTGGTTACCTGGCGTGCTGATTTTTTTTTCTTTTTTTGAAAAGCAGATTTACAGAATTTCTGTCTGCTGGCTCATTCCCCAAGTGGTTGCAACAGCCAAAACTGAGCTGATCTGAAGCCAGAAGCCACTGCTGGATCTTCTACACATGTGCAGGGTCCCAATGCCTTGGGCCATCCTCTACTGCTTTCCCAGGCCACAAGGAGAGAACTGGAAGGGAAGTGGAGCAATTGGTAAGATAAGAACTGGTAGCCATATGGGATCCCGGCACATGTAGCCACTAGTCTACTATGCTGGGCCCCAAAAGGCAGATGTCTTCTGTCTATTGGTTTACTTCCCAAATGGCTGCAACAATAAGAACTGAATTAATCAAAACTGGGAGCCAGAAACTTCTTCCATGCCTCCCACATGGATAACAAGTACCCAAGGGCTTGGGCCACCATTACTACCTATTCAGGAGGTTGAGACCAGAGCTGGAAATATAATCCAGGCCTCTTGTATGGATAATAGGAACCCAACTACTTTCAATTGCTGCTGCCAATATCTGCATTGGCAAGAGTTTAGAGTCTGGAACTAGGAACTGTACCCAGGTACTGCAGTGTGGGGTGTGAGTTTGTTAACTGCTAGGCTAGATGCCCGCTCATAGTCATTCTTTAAAAACTACAGTATTCCCTTTACATGGCAAGATGGTACTTATGTTTGTTTTTTGGAAAGTTAGATTTACAGAGAGAAGGAAAGGCAGAGAAAAAGATTTTCCATCTGCTGGTTCACTTCCCAAGTGGCCACAACAGCCAGAGCTGATCAGAATCCAGGAACTTCTGGGTTTTCCATGCAGGTGCAGGGTTCCAAGGCTTTGGCCCATCCTCTAGCATCTTCCCAGGCCACAAGCAGGGAGCTGGAAGGGAAGTGGAGCATCTAGGATACAAACCGGCACCCTTATGGGATCCCAGAGTGTACAAGGTGAGGACTTTAGCCACTAGGCTATTGCACCAGGCCCTTTCCCACAAACTTTTTTTGTCCTGGATACGTCTTATTGCTACTCTGTCTTACAGTGATCAGAAGCCTGTACACTCACAGACACAGAGGTGTGGTAGATTGAAGATGGCAGCAGCGGTGGAGCTCAGCCCTGGGAACACTCTTGAGTGCAAGCTGCACTTGTAGGCTGACTGAGAGTTACAGAAGTGACAGTCTCACTATTGGAAAGGAACTGACATGTTTCCAAACTGGAACTTGAGCTAAACTAAAGAACGATGAGAGAGGGCCCGACATGGTGGCCTAGTGGCTTAAGTCCTCACCTTGAACGCACTGGGATCCCATATGGGTGCCGGTTCTAATCCCAGCAGCCCCACTTCCCATCCAGCTGCCTGCTTGTGGCCTGGGAAAGCAGTGGCGGACGGCCCAAAGCCTTGGGACCCTGCACCCACATTGGAGACCTGGAAGAAGTTCCTGGCTCCTGGCTTTGGATTGGTGCAGCACTGGCCGTTGTGGTCACTTGGGGAGTGAATCATTGGATAGAACATCTTCATCTCTATATCCGACGTTGCAATAAAAATAAATCTTGAAAACAACAATGAGAGAAGTTCATTACACAACAACAATGTGTAAGAAGGCCATAGTGCTTTAGGCCCAGCCAAACAGCCTCCTGCTGCTACCACCGGAAGCTGAACCATTTGGCTCAGTCCTGCCAACCTAGAGAATTGTAACTTTTTCCTTAATTTTATTTACTTTACTTAACATAGTTACAGAGATATAAGGAGACGGAGACAGAGATAGATCTGTCTGCCAGTTGCCTCCCTAGATGATTAGAATGTCCAGGGCAGGGAGTTAATGGTGATGATGAAAATGGCAAGGAGCTGAGTGGAACTCCTAGGTGGTTGTTTTGAAATCTGGGTATATGGAGGTACCATTTGCAGAGGTGCAGATGATGATGAGAGCTTAGGGTCCTCAGTGTTAAGACATGTTGTTGAGAACTACATACTCAGTAAGTGGGAGCTACCCTGACTTTTCCAGGGTACTTGCATTTAGTTAGGCATCTTCATGATTTCCTAGAGATAGTCATTGAGGACAGGACATAGGACTCATTCCACCAGAACACTGCAGGGTCCTCCAGTGTGCCGGGCCCTGTTGTTGGAGCTGAGAGTACGAAGGTAAGATGTGATTCCTAGCCTTGAGAGACCCTGCATTGTGGAGATAAATTGTTCATTTCAGCATCTACAGTGTAACAGATACTAACTGCTGGTAGAGAAATGTGCTAAGCATTTGGAGAACACCAAGAAGGCAGCAGAGAGGAGCGGTTCCTGGACTGGACAGCACTAAGAGAAAAGTTGCCCCCTTGCTAGAATAGTATAGAAGTACAGAAACTGGGTGGCTGTTATGGGTTTGAAGCAGATCAGCTGGAGAGCAGGCAGTGGGCTTTGCCCTGGGTGAATGTCAGCGGGGCATCCGTGTAAGGCAGTGCAGTCCTCTAGGGCAGATGCCAATGGCATGCTTGGTTCTCATCGGCCCAACAGAGCACCTAGTGAAGTGCCAGCATGAGGAGGAACCTCACCTAAGTGGCAGACTTCATCTCCCAAGTGTCCTGAACTGCGTCCACAGAGTGAAGTGTGTAGCCCCCTTTGCTGGTTCTTTGAGCTGCATTATTGTGGAGAACCACTTCCTGGGTAGTGGGGAGGTAGACATGGGGTTGCCTGGTATGTCACAAGGAGAGGACGACGGGCATCACAAGTACTTGACTGGGAAACTGAGGCAACAGGATCAGACTCTGAGGAGGAGGAGGCATGCATTCTCCATACCCCACAGTTATCTGGGTATGCTGGCAAGCCGTGGGAAATGAAGCAGTCAGGTCCAAGGTTGATTTGGGATTCAAGATGCTCATCAGCCAAGGCCAAGAAGACAGGGTCTTCCTGCTGTACTGCCCCACTGGCCTCTCCCTTGTAGTCTCTGCAGCCACTGACGCCTCCCTATCCCCAGAAGAGGATCCTGCCCACTCTACCATGCCTGCCCTCCCCTACCCCCAGCAGCCTGGCTCCCTGCCCCATGCCACAATGGCCCTGAGAAACGACTCAGTTTTCCTCCTTTGTGGATAGCAGGACACCAAGCAGCTGAATGCCCAGTGAATGAATCTGCTGTATTGTTGATGCTGCCTGCACACCTCCCAGCTCAACTCCTTAGTTTGCCTCAATGGTTTAGTTCATGCTGGTTGATATGTGTCCTCAGCATCCCTCTGTGCCCCACCTGCTCATAAACTAGGACCGGACTAATGGTCAACCCCTCAAGACGAAGAGCCCCTGAAATTGGGGGCCATTCTGCTCCTCAGTCAGGAGGTGCATGCTTTTGAAGCTCAGCCTTGAGCTTATGATGGGAGGGAGAGTGTCACTCTGTGGACTGGGTAGCATAGGATCCTAAATGAGAGGACCCCTCGCTCTCAAATCCCTTCCCACAGTCTTCCCACCCCCCGCCTGCCTCATGATGCCTTTCCTGTTTCCATGATGCCCCATGGACACCTCTCGTTCTCACCCGTCCCAAGCCCATCTGTCACCTGTGCAAGAGGGCTATGCAATCTTTCTGAAATTCCGAAAGGGTCTCTTGGCCTGCCACCTGCCAGGAAGACTCCTGGACAGGGTGCCAGAGCCCAGTTCATCCTGCCCTCAGCCCCGTGCCAGAGAAGAAGCCATTTGTTGGTCATTCGTTTATTGAGCCCCCACAGTGTGCCCGGCATGAGGGTAGAGTGCACAGACTTGTAGCTGTTGTACAGGGAGCTGAGGGCGAGGGAGGGCAGGGTCCCTTCATCTCTCCAGGGAGAGAAGCAGCTCAATGAGGCCCGACTGCTGCTGGACACCCAGAGTTCTGGAAGAAACCCCGCAATGTCAGCATGGGCCTCACAGGAATGCCCCATTATGGACAAGAGCTGGCCTTGGGCTGGTCTGTGGTAACATCCAGGGAGTGCCAAGGGACAGGCATCCTGTGGAAGCACGCGTGAGTGGCTCTCACTCGGAACGTTGGTCCACATCCGCGCTGCCTGGGGAGAATTCTGGATGTGATGGTGGTTAGGGGAGGTCTCCATTTTGGGGGTCCTGGTTCCCTGCCTAAGGCACTGGGACTGCAGGCTCATCTGCTGCCCTGCCATCACTCATTTGCAGGCACTTCTACAATGGGGGTGGAGCCAAAGCTCAGTGCTCTGTCGGAATACTTCCCAAGGGGGATGGGGGGGGGGCCTCCAGGGGACAAGTGAGACTCAGTCCTGGCTCAGTTGTTAACTCACTGTTGACACTTGGCAAGTTTTTTTCCATCTCTGAAAAATGACTTAAACTTTTGTTTGTTTTAATTTGAAAGGCAGAGAGAGGGAGAGCTTTCATCCCTGGGTTCAAAACCATGAGCTTGGAATTCCATCTGTGTCTCCTACATTGTGTGGCAGGGACCCAAGGACTTGGCCCATCATCCACTGCTTTCTCAGGAGCATTAGTAGGTAGCTGTATCAGGTAGGTGGAGCAGGGGGACTTGAAAATGGGTTGCTGGTACAATAAGTGGCTTTGCCACAGTGCCAACCTCAAATGCTGGTCTCTAAGCTTCTTGCCCACCACACGCACATAGGGGCATTTATTTCTATTTAGTATTGGGGTAATTTCTATGACCCTCTAAATACAGTGATTCAAATACTGAAAATGAAAATCTGGGGAAATAGGGTGGGCACTGTGGTGCAGTGAGCTAAACCACTACTGGGAGATCCCCATATAGCCTAGATGGGAGGGCCAAGTTGGTGTCCCACCTACTCCACTTCTGGTGCAGCTCTCTGCCAGTGCTCCTGGGAAGCAGCAGATGATGGCTCAAGTACATGAGTCCCTGCTGCCCACATGGGAGGTCAGGCATAGAGCTCCAGGCTCCCAACTGCAGTCCAGCCCAGCCCCAACTGTCATGGCCATTTGGGGAGTGAACCTCAAGGGTTTTTCTCTCACTCTGCCTTTCGAATAAATAGATCCCAAACAAAACAAAAACAGGGAAAATCTTTAGTCCAGGAGCCAACGTTGGAATGAGGAGGTGTGCCTTCCACCAGGGGAGCCAGGGAGGGTCCCAGGAGTCTGCAGCCCTTGGAAGGGAGGATGAGGAGAGACCTTAGACACCAAGGAAGGCCTACTGGGCTTTGTTTGACACCTGCCCAGCTGGGGCACCCACTGCTTGTCTCACTGAACTGGGACCATCCTGTTTCACTTCTCTGCTTTCTTGCCTTGGGAGCTATATGAGGTAAGGCTCCTGCCAGAAGGTGTCTGCTGAGGGTGCTGGTCCTCCCGGAGTGATGGGCACTCATTTGATGGGAGCTCACTAATAGTTAATGACCAGACCTTCACAGTAAGAGAATAAGAGCATGCTCCATTCATTTGCGGAGGGGTACTGGGGTCACAGTGTGCCTGGGGCTGATGGGAGGGGGGATGGGAAGGAGTGGCCACCGCAGTGACCACTTCCCAGTGCCTTGCCTGACTGCCTGATGGCTTGTGGGGAGCCTGCCTACCTAGCTTCCTGCCCCATCTCCCCTCTCCTACTTTCCCAGTTTCCTCCCTGTCTTCTCTTCCCCCCAGAGGAATGGCAACAACGTGTCTGGCCACTCTCCTAATGCTCTTGCCACCCACTGGAAGCTTCCACCTACCTTTTGTGGATAATCCTCTCCTGCCCTGAACCATCTGTCCCGTCTGATATCCTGGCAAGGGAGAAAGAAGAGAGAGAACATGGCATCAGGGGTCGGCTGTCTTGGGAAACGTCAGGAACAAGGGCAGAGCTAAGGCCTTATTGAAGGGCCACTTCTGAGTCCTCCTGGAACTTAAGAAGACGTCCTGGTTTGGTTCCCACACTGATTACAGTCATCAGTTCCTTCTATCATGCCTTCTTCCCTTCTTCAGATACCCAGTGGGCACTTCTCATAGGCCAGGGTGTAGAGACTCCCCTGCCCACGGGGAGGTTTGAGGGCATGTTGTGCCAAGGAGAGCACAGCGCCCTGGGCCAAGGGGGTGAGCCCCATTGAGCTGGCAGGCAGGACAGGAGACCTGACAGGGAGGACTGCACCTATTAGGGCACTGATGGACTTGACCATGAAAGCATAGTGAGATTGGTTAATTTCAAGCCTGTTTCTCCCTTTTCACCGGAAGGTTCTAAGCAGGCCAGGCCTGTTAGCTCTGTGGTTGGAAGAGCCGTCTGGGTGGAAGGGGCTGAAGTTTTGAGGGCTTGATTAGTTTTTTTTCAGTATGGGGCTGAAAAAATTTTGCAACTCTAGCAAAGTGAGACTCGCCCATCCCTGTCTCCTCCCATCCCAACAACCACTCTGGGCATGCAGGGACCTCCCTTGTGAGGAAACCATCAGAAAGCCCGGCCAAGCCACATGCCTGCCCCTCCTCCCTGACTAGTTAGTGGTCGAGATCACAGACCTCCACCTTTCCAGGACATGCTGAGGGGAAGATCTGGGCAAACTGAGCAGTTGTTCTCCATGACTGAATTGGATGTATTCCTGGGGAAGGAGAAAGGAGCAAAGAGGAGTGTGGGCTTCCAAGGGGACATGGGGAGGTGGGAAAGGCTCAGGGTTCTGGCTAGGCACCTTGGGGGCCTTCAGAGGCATGTTAGTCCCTCGGTGGTCATCATGTGGCAGTAGGGACATGCCCCAAAGGAGACAGTGCAGAGTGCTGGGAAAGACACTGACCCAGGAATCATTGGCACCAGCTGGGCATCCTTGGGAAAAGTACTTGACTTATCTGAGCCTTAGTTCCCCTGCTGATGATAAGGAGGATGTTACGGCAATATAGTCCTGTGTGAGCATAGCAAGGGCTACAAAGGAGTTCTTGGGGGCAGGTGTAGGTGAAGACACCCTCAACCCAGACCTGAGGGTCAGGGTTAGTGCTGGTCCTAATTCCAGCTTCCTGCTAGTGCACACTCTGCGAGGCAGAAGTTAATGTCTCCAGGAGTTGGGACCCTGCCATCCATAGAGGAGACCTGAACACAGTTCCCAGCTCCCAGCTTCAGCCTCGCCCAACCCTGGCTGCCATGGGCATGTGGGGGAGTAACCAGTGGATGGGAGTTCTCTGCCTATCTTATTCTATCAAATAAATGAATGAATAAATTTTAAAATATTTCTCTTAGCCTTCCATCCCCTGCTCCTCCTGGATTGTTGGATTTGTTTCACTTGGAAATGGGCCAGTCTAGACCTTGTTTTGTAGGAGAGGAAACTGATGCCAAAAGTGTTTGGTCACAAGTTGGTTTTTTCTATTTTTAAGTGCATATTTTTTATATTACAAATGCAGTCTTTGAATGCATGCCCACTATAAAAAAAATATGCAGAGTTTGTACAATAAAATTAAAATCCCTCCTCACTCTCTTCCTCATCTTTACTTCCTGTCCCAGATATAACCACTGTTTATACTTTCCCTGTGCATTTGCATAAATGTGTGAGTCTAGTTTTTTGAAAACAAGTAGGTTCAACTCGGGCATGTCGTTCTGCTTAAGCATGTTTTATGGAGTTCTTTCCATATATTCCCACAGATCTGCCTTATCCACAAAAGTTATGGCTATACCTCACACATTTAAATATTTTTAAAAGAACATTTATATATCTGAAAGGCAGAGGGACAAGAAGAGAAAGTTCTGGGTTCACTTTACAGATGCCTTCAAGAGTCAGGCCAGGTCAAAGCCAGGAGCCTGAGACCTCATCTGGGTCATCTACAAGGGTAACAGGAACCCAGGTACTTGGGCCACCAGCCACAATTTTTCAGGGACAAAAGAAGGAAGCCGGATTGGAAGCAGAGTAGCCAGGACTTGAACCAACAACCCAGTACAAGATGTGGGCATTGCAACCGGTGGCTTAATTTGCTGTGCTACAGCATCCACTTCACCCCCTATCCATACTTTTTTTTTTTTAAGGTTTATTTATTTGAAAGGCAGAGTGATGAGGGAGGGAAGGATGGTGGAATTGAGAGAAAGAGGGCTATAATCTGTTCACTCTTTCATTTCCCACATGGCTGCAACAGGCCAGAGCCAGGAGTTTCACCATTTTGCTCCAAGGGTGGCATTGGCCCAAGGATCTTGGTCATCATCTGCTGCTTTCCCAGAAACATTAGCAGGAATCCAGAATGGAAATGGAATAACTGGGATTCAGACCTGCACTCCAATATAGGATGCTAGTTTGGGAAGCCATGGCTGAATCCACCGTGCCACAATGCTGGCCGGACATCCCTTCTCTGCCTCCTCATTATGTTATTTCCAAGTGTTTTCCATTACAACCATGTTGGTACTTTTGTACAAACATCTCATAGATTCCCTAAAATGAGACAGTGGGTTAAAAGGCACACCCATTTCCAACTCTGATGGATAGTGCCAGCATGTCCTCCAGGCACAGGAGTTCCATTTTGTCACCCCCTTGCCAACATAGGGCATAACCACTTGAAACATCTGATGTTGACAGAGCAGTGAGGACAGCTGTATGACAGACGACATGCTCGCTGTCCCCGCAGGACAGGGCTCCCTTGTTATGAATGCCCTTGGGAAACAGGTTCACCTCGGCAATTCTGGTTAAGCCTAACAGAATGGGCTAGAAAAGCTTGGCTGGCAGCTACTCCCATCTGGATGCAGGTTTCAAGGCACCTACAAGGGCACCAGCCAGATGCAGAGCATTGACCCTCCACAGGGAGCCCCAGGGGTCACTATTCTTCCCATAATGTGGGGGGTCAGCTCTGGTTTTCAGCTGTTGCTTGTTGTAATTGTCAGCACTTCCCAAATCATTTTGATTGGCTGGTCATTCATTTATACAATCATCTGTACCCTGTGTCATGAGTGTCCCCTATTACTGGGCTGGAGTAACTGCTCCCAGCTCCTATACTATCTTCTAAACCATTCCTCCCTGGGCTTCTGCCCCCTGCCTCCCATCACTCACCTTTCACCCGCTTCCCCATCAGCCCGAAGAACTGGCTGGCCTTGCCCCTCTTCACCTCGTGCAGCTGGAGCTGAATACTGGCGACAGCGCCTACCTGGGGAAGTAGGGGGTGGGCAAGGAGACAGAGAAGGAAGCTTGAGTGGCCACCATCTCAGTGGCAGCAGCTCACAGTCATTAGGTAATTGTCTCAGTGCTACAATGGTCACTGTGTGTGTGTGTGTGTGTGTGTGTGTGTGTTTTAAAGATTTATTTTATTTGGGGCCTAGCGTGGTAGCCTAGCAGCTAAAGTCCTCGCCTTGCACATGCTGGGCACTATTTCATGTCCTGGCAGCCCCTCTTCCCATCCAGCTCCCTGCTTGTGGCCTGGGAAAGCAGCTGAGATCGGCCCAAAGCCTTGGGACCCTGCACCCATGTGGGAGACCCAGGAGAGGCTCCTGGCTTCGGATCAGCTCAGCTCCAATCATTACAGCTGCTTGGGGAGTGAATCATCAGATGGAAGATTTTCCTCTCTGTCCCCTCTCTGTATATCTGCCTTTCCAATAAAAATAAATTAATTAATTAAAAAAGAAATAGAAGTCTTCCCTCTTCTAATTTACTCCCCAAGTACTCATGATAACCAGGGCAGAGCCAAGCTAAGCCAGAGGGTTGAAACTCCATCTGGATCTTCCCTCTGGGGGCAAGGGGTCAACTGCTTGAGCCATCACCTGCTGCCTCCAGGGATCAACAGAAAGCTGGGTCAGAAGTGAAACAGTCAAGACAGACACACTGATAGGGGATCCCAAGCAGTAGCTTAACCCACTGTGTTACAGCACCAATCCCATTTAATCCTGACAGTCACCATCACAAGTAGGAAATGCAAAACCTGAGATGTGAAGAGGTGCTGAGACTTGCCTGAAGTCACACAGGCAGTGGCTGAGTCCCACTCAGTCTGGCCCTTGTGCAAGACTCTGTTCCAGCTTGGGAAGCGTTCCTGGTGTAGACGAGGAAGGGGCAGCCCTGGCACTCAGGGTGGGACTGGCCCCTTCCCGGGCCCCCACCCCTGCTCCCCCATCATTCCAGGCCTTCCCCAAAGGGCCCTGATTCACCCTACCTTAGAATCTATACCTCCCAAGAGGACCATGGCTGTCCCTTGGCAGAGCCATCAAGCAGGTGGGGCAGACATCCTGAACAGGGCTGCAGATGGAGCGTCTTATTCCCCCATTAGCCCTGAGACCTTGATCTGTGCCCTCTGTCCTGACCATAACCTGAGGCTTCAGGGAATGAGGCCTTTCTACAGGCTCAACCTTCCTGGTAAATGCAGGCTGCCCACCAGCAGGCTGGGTGCTGGACTTGAGTCAGGGCCTGTTTCCCTGCCAATCCCTACAGAGCCCCCTGGAGCTCTTGGGACCAGCAGGAGCCTGGGGAGTGGGAGCCATAGAAACCCCTTTGCGGCCCCAGGGTGGATTGTTTCTTAAGCCTTTTACTAATTCAGTCCTTTCCAATCTGTCTATTTCCTTCCTGGGGCGTCAGTGGCTGGGGAAGCTGTCTCCGATGGAGTCTTCCAGCCTGGCCAGAAACCCGGACGGACAGTCTCTGCGGAGATTTGGACCCATTTCTGCCCATGAAAACCACTTTGCCTGAATAAAAGGCGGCCTTCAAAGGCAAGCCAGAGAGAAGGGCTGTTTATGGATTCAACGGTTTCTACATGGAGCTGGGCATTAAGAGGCCATCAGCAAGGACTCCTGTCATCCCCTAACACTCCCTAGCCCTCCCTCCTCACCCCCCATTTCCCCCAGCTCCAAGGATGGCTGCGGGCAGGAAGCCTTGAGAGCCTGGAAGGCCACCACCCCATCCCGGAAGGCGCTCCCACCTCAACGGTCACCTCAACACTTCGTTTGTATAAATGCTTAGCAACCTGATATTTGTTAAGGTGTGAGTCCCTCCTGTCTTCTAACCCAGTGTCCCCTCCCATGTCCCCACCCTTCCCACCTTGGGAAGCAACAGGAGATTAAATGACAGGGAAGAGAGAGGAAAGCTTGGCCCCAGCTACAGCATGATGTGTCTGATGGGTGGGGACAGATTTGGCCCACAACTTAGCCCACAGTTACTGAGTGTATTGCAACAACAGCCTCATCAAAGCTTAAGAAAATCCTGGAGGGGATGGGGAGTCCTTTTCCTCTGCCCGCATCTGCAGGCCAGGAAGCTGATGTCCAGCAAGCAACAGGAGGCAGTGCAGAAGCGAGACTCGAACCCAGGTCTCCCAGTGTGCTGCCTTCCAGCTGCACACACACTCTGAATAGACCAATCAGACAGGAAGTGGCCATGCCTGGTTCTTCCTGTGGTCCCATCTTTAAGAGCTTCCAGGGGGCCTCAACATGGCCTTAGGACCATGCCCCCATGTGTTCCCTGTCCAAGGGAATGAGCCAGGTTTCACCCATTGCTGACTGGTAGTCTCTTCTTGCTCTGTGTTTATGCCTGGTGTTGATCCGTGTCTGATGGGGAACTCTCTTAAGCTAGCATCTTTGTAACCCAGGGCAGGATGGGGGTGCTGTGGGTGCTGGGTCTTTCGCTATAGGCCTCTCCCCAGCGACTGGATTTGGTTCAGGTCAGTAGAAGAAACCACACATCAGTCCCTGTCAGGAAATCTAAGATAATCTCCCCCATATGAGGTGAACCAGTAGTTCTGCCCCAAGTGGATGCCCTTGAGAGCAAATTCTGGAAGCTGTCTGAGGCACAGGTGCACAGAGGCAGACCCTGGATGGAACGTATGGTGGTTTGGAAAGCTGTGCAGCCTTACATGAGTAGTATGACCTCTCCGTGTCTCAGTTCCCTTCTCTGTGAAATGGAAATCTTGTGGTCCCCTCCCCAAGGAAGTTGAGCTTAGATAAGTTAATATTTAGAGTGTTAAGTGGTGGAGCCAGAAACATAGCAGGTGTCTCACCTCCCTCCCCTCAACACACACACTTCTTGCTACTCTTAACGTGGCTTGACCCTGTGCTCAGAGTGAGTCTAATAATGGCATTTCCTTCTGGCAGCTGTGGAGGAGATCTGCAGCGCCTCCAGTGGGGACCACCCCCTTCCCTGGGCAGAGCGTCCCCCAACAGTACCTGCAGGTTCACGGTTACCCAGGATCCTGCTTCAGTGCCGAGGGTCAGTTCATCCCCACCGTCACCTGCCACAGCACACACAGACAGCCCCATTAGGAGCAGCAGGGGAAGGCTGGGCACCATGACAAGGGCTACTGTGTCCTGGGACCCTCCAGGATCCCCTCACTCAGGGCCTGAAGACTCCACCTGCAGCAGGCTGTTGCCTGCCCTTCAGCTGCTTGAGTGTGAGCGGGGGGACACTTCCCCTGTTCTCTTTCCAGCAATCCTGCTTTGTTTCCTTCAGCTTATTTAACACCCTCCCCCACCCCCACTCCTGGCTGGAAAGGCCAATGACAGCCAAAGTTTCTCCAGAGGAGGGAACAGATCCGTCCCCCTGCCGCCCCCTAACATTCGATTCCCAGGGCTTACCACTCTGATGCAACACCTGCCTTACCTTTGGCTGCATTCCCTCCCGTGACAGGTGCACAATGGGGCAGTGTGTGGGGCCTGGAGCTTTCAGCCCCCTGGCTGCAGACCACAAGGGAGCCCTGTCTTCTTGGACTGTGTGGCTCCAGGTGTCTTGTTGTTCTGCACCGGGAGGCCCTTCCCAGGGCTGAATCAGACCCTATCATTGGTCTCCCCCTCTGCTTCAGAGCCCCCTTTCAGCACTCTGCTCCATCCGTAGTCTCCATGAGTGCTAAAAAAAAATGCATGTCCTGTCCTAAGAAATGACATAGTGCTTCAAGGAACTGGGCTTTTGGCACGGTGGTTTAGATGCCTCTTGAGATTCCCTCATCCCATACTGGAATCCTGGCTCTGCTTCTAACCCAGCTTCCTGCTAATGTATGCCCTGGAAGGCAGCAGGTGCTGGCTCAAATGGTAGAGTTCTTGCTGCCCACATGGCAAACCCAGCTGAAGTTGCAGGCTGGACTCCTGGGCTTTGTCTGGCCCAGCCCTGGTGGTTGAGGGCATTTGAGGTGCGAACTTGCTAGCAGATGAAAGATCTCTCTGTGTCTCTGCTTTTCAAGTAAAATGAAAATAAATATTGCTTTTTCAAAAAGAAATGTGGCTTCTCGCAGGTGAGTTGAGATGTGCCATTAAAATGGCATCATTTGCAAATCTTTTTCAAAAGATTTATTTAGGGCTTGGGATGATAGCATAGCGGCTAAAGTCCTTGCCTTGAATGCGTTGGGAACCCAAATGGGTGCCAGTTCTAAGCCCGGCGGCCCCATTTCCCATCCAGCTCCCTGCTTGTGGCCTGGGAAGGCAGTCGAGGACGGCCCAAAGCCTTGGCACCCACGTGAGAGACCTGGAAGAGGCTCCTGGCTTCAGATTGGCTCAGTTCCAGCCATTGTGGTCACTTGGGGAGTGAACCATCAGACAGAAAATCTTCCTCTCTGTCTCTCCTCCTCTCTGTATATCCACCTTTCCAATTAAAAATAAATAAATCATTGCTTCTCGGCCTTTTGGCTAAGATCAAGTATAAAAATAAATAAATTTTTTTTAAAAAAGAGATTTATTTATTTTTATTTGACAGGCAAATTTATGGAGAGACAGTTTCCTTCTGTTGGTTCACTCCCCAAATGGCCACTATGGCTGGAGCTGGGCCAGGCCAAAACCAGGAGCCAGGAGCTTCTTTTGGGTCTCCCAAATGGGAGCAGAGGCCCAAGGACATTGGTCATCTTCTGCTGCTCTCCCAGACCATTAGCAGGGAACTATATTGGAAGTAAAGCAGCTGGGACTCAAACCAACACCTATACAGGATACTGGCACTGAAGGCAGTAGTTAAAGCTACTGTACTAAGGCTTCAGTCCTTAAATATTTCTTTATTTAAAAAAAAAAAAAAACGTATTTGAAAGGCAGAGTAAGAGACAGACTTGTTATATCTGCTGACTCACTTCCCAGAGGGCTGTAACAACCAGGGCTGGACAAAGCTGAAGTAAGCAGCCAGGATCTCTGTCCGGGTCACCCAACAGGATGGCAGAGACCCAAGCATTTGGGCCATCATCTGCATCCTCTTAACTAAGCCACATTGACAGGCAGGCAGGCGGGTTGCAAGTGGAGGTCAGATGGCTTTCTAGACTCTCAGATATGGGATGAGAGTGTCCCAAGCAGTGGCTCTCCACACTGAGTCACAATGTCTGCCCCCAAACTCTATTGACTGTGTTGTCAAAATGATCTTCTAAACCCCTGAGCTGTCTTTCCAATATCTCCTCGTCACCTTCTGTTTATTTCCAGACCCCTAGCATGACATTCATGGTCTTTTTAGCTCCTCCCTCTCCCATCCACTGAGTTCATCCATCTTTCTGTCCATCCATCAGTCTAGAACAAGGACTTTGTGGTCAGACTTGACTTCTGCCTGCAGCCTCATCCCTGAATAGCTGGGTGACCGTGGGCACTTTATGGAACCCTTCTAAATCTTGGGCTCCTCAGATGTAACCAGGATTGATAATAGCATCTGTGTGCAGAGTCTGAGGGTAGCTGAGTACCAGTGTGACAGTAAATATTTAATGCCCTTTAACCATTATTACTGAGACTGTTAGTGACACTGAAGGAGACACTGGGCCCCTGAAGATGGATCAGACACTGTTTCAGTCCAGGAGGGAGACCTCTGACTGGCAGATAAACCGTGTTCAGATCTGTTTATGCCACAGTGGAGCTGGGGGGGGGGCGGGGCAGGGGAGGGCATGCTCGCTTTTCTAGTCTGCCGTCAGTTCTGTCTCAGGCACCCACAGCACCTGCTCCCAGGACACGCCTAGACTCCCCAGCCCAAAGCTTTGGCCTTGGCCCAGAGCTCCCTTGCCACCTAGGGAACTCTTACTCCTTAGGGAGCCAGCTTACTCCTGACCTTTCTGGCAGTTTTCCTATCTCTGCCTCCAGCAAGAGGGGGTTGGTCCTGGTCCCCTTTCTAGGTATCTCCTCTGTCCTCTGCACTGGCCACACAGGTGTCTCATCTTATTCCAGGTGCTCCTGGTGAGTGGCAAACCAAATGGCTTCAGAGAGGAGTTTCCTGCAAGTGCTGATGTCCCTGGCTCAGCCCTGACCCCACCCAGCCTGTGTTGGTGGTGGCTGGGTCTCAAGGCTTCTGGAGGGTAGTGGGCAGGCATCCCATAGGCTCACATGCTATTTGGATTTTTCCATCTTTGATAACGAGTCCTTCCTAGCAGGGAACAGAGGTCCACTGTTCATTGTTTTTATTTTACAGACCCAGAAACTAAGGCAAGCCGGCTGTGGCTCACACTAAGGTTGCGGGGCTGACTTGCTTTTCAGACCCCCAGCCAGCTCTTCCCCACTCCTCATGGGGTCTCAGAACAGGGTAAATGGCTTCCCACTGGAGCAGTGCAAAGGGAGGAGCTGAGCCTCAGTTTCTCTATCTACAGACTGAAGATGTAATGAATTCCTGCGGGTAAAGCCCTCAGCACAGCGCGGGCATACCCCGCATCATTCCTGAACTGGGATCCTTAAGACCTCCACACCCCCAAACCTCGGAGCTGGGCTGCCGACTTGGCCTGAGTTCCCTCCACCCGCGCCAGTTCAGGAGCCAGGGGGCAGGATGTGGTGGGCTCACAGCGTGGCGAGCATGGAGCAGAGGGGAGAGACACGGTAGGAAGAAGGGAGAGAAAAACCCCAAGTTCCGGCAGCCAGGAGGGAGGCAGTGTACGGGCAGCCAACCGCGGCTATTTGCAGCGAAGCCCTCAGGCTGCGGTCAGCCTGGCGCTGGCGGTCCCGGCAGTCGAGCCCAGCGCCCCGCCCGGTGCCCTCCGCCACCCGGGCACGGCCCTGGCCGCGGCGTCCTGCTGGGCCCTGGCAGCGAGCACGCTGCCGGCAGCCCGAGGAAAAACGAAGCCTATAGGACAAGGCAGGAGCGCCATCCCCAGCTGGGCTGGTTTGGGTTCGGGGTGCGATTCTCAGTGGGCAGGCTCCGTGGAGGCGGGGCGGTGCCAGGCGGAGTGGGGCGGTGGTTGGCGACCGCGGCGAAGCTCTTCGGGCGCCGGGCGCGCCGCAGGATTGCTAAAGGCTGCGGGCTGGCTAAGGTTGCAGAGCCCTGGGGAGAAAAGGGAGGGGGAGGGATTAAGAAGAGAAAAGGAAAGCCGAGGGAGAAGAAGGAAACACGAGATAGGGGCGGGCAGGAAGCTGACCGTGCGCAGACCCTACTCGGGCCTCAGTGGGCGGGACAGTCGGCTCCATTTCACGGGTGGGAGGAGGTAGAGTGCCCTGGAGAAGGCGGGGCAGCCCTGGACGGGGGAGACGCCGGAACCTGCATCTGCCTCCACCTGTACTGACGACCGCGAGACAACAGGGGAGGGATGTCGGCAGCTTTGCAGGAACTGCTGGGGCCAGGGACCGCGGTCAGGTGACCAACTGTGTCTCTCCAGTCGGGCCCTGCGTCGGCCTCTCCTGCGCCTTTCCAGCGCCCCCGCGTGGAAGCGCCCGCTGCTGGCGGGATCCAGGCCAGGCCCAGGCGCGTCCTGCAGCTGATGACCGGTGTCTTGGCAGAGGAGCAGGCAGCAAAGTCAGGGGCGGGGTGTGAGGCGCCGAGGTTAAGGTCCTGCGGCTGGGAGCGCAGCCCTTCCCGGGGCGCAGGAGGGCGGTGAATGGAAGTAGTCAGGAGTCCCATGCGTGGGGCAGTTGTCAGCTCCCTGTGCACTCCCAGCCCTCCACCCTCCGTACCTCCAAGCTCAACTTAGAAAAAAAAAAGCAACAACCCTCCATCTTTGAGGTTTCGTTTCCTCTTCCCTTCTCTCTTTTTCCCTCCCTCTCTCTCCTTCCCTTTCTCCTCCTTTCCTTCCTTCATTCACCGAGCACCTTGTAAACTGAGAGGAGATGAAAGAAGCGTCAAAGTTAAACCACACCGTGTGGCCACTGCCGTGCTTCGGGCCTGCGGAGCAAGGCCCCCACACTCCTTCCCTCCGGCACACTCACATATTTCTTCCAGCCCTGTCACTAGGCCTGGACCTCCGTGCAGATGCAGTCTTTGCCCCAGGCTGCAGAGGCTGTGTGAGCAGATGACCTGGTCTCAGCTTTCCTTTCTCTCCGTGATGGCCCCAAGTGTCGCTGCTAGGGCCTGAAGCTGTTATACGGTTTCGAAAGTTTCACTCCTGGCTAATTGGAGTTCTGTGGATGACTCAAAACAGTCCCTGATA